GCTTGAGTATGAATGAACGCTTGCGGTTGAGTATGAATGAACGCTTGCGGATGGAATGAATGCTTGCGGAGGAGGAGTATGATGCGGCGATTTGATGCGGCGATTTGATGGATTTGATGTCGGTCGGTTGATGGTGGAGGTGCAGCATTGGATGGAGGTGCATCAGTACTGATTTGGTGTATAAAAATATGCACGTAGATTACGTATAATTAGTACCGCAGTACTGAATGTACAGGGGGTACATGCGCATGGCAGGCAAGCCAGCCGGCCCTGGAGGTTCGGAATTGCCAATAACTTGCCAGTACGGGACTTACCATTAATAGCTCTATTCGACTTCCGCTGCCATCGAAGCAGACCAATCTTACGAGGAACCTCGTATCGAAACAGTTGAGCAAGAGTAAATTGCGGGCACCGAAGATGAATGAGGAAATAGACACCAAAATAACTGCTCTCTGGTTTAGGGCACATTCTAACGTTCCGGTACTGTTACCGTACGGCACTACTAAAACCTCGAACATCACAAAAGTGAGAATATTACCTCCTCGGCAAAGATCTGTACCACTTCGTACTTTTTATCACAGCAACTCGTAAGTTGGCAACAGATATTGGAATATTCACATTCCGGAACTTCAGCAATAGGGAAATGACTAGGGTGGTTCATTATGCTGACGAGAGTGTAGACCTTGATGAGGTCAACACTTTTCTGGCCAAACAACTCAACAAACTTTCAGTCTACAACCGCACGCGTATAGACGAAGAAATTCACGGCGTTTGCTGTTTGGCCCCAGAAGAAACACCTGAACTCCTGGAAATAGCCCTCCAAGAACTTTCTTCTGCAATCGACAACATTCACGATTCACAGAAACAAGCTTATATCCAAAGCCAAGAACTGTTTCCCAATAATGAATACGTCAACGATCACAACTTTCGACTAATGTTTCTTCGATGCGAATTCTTCGATGCAGAAAAAGCGGCGATACGACTGGTGAGGCACCTAGACTTTGTGCTGGAAATTTTTGATCAGAAGACTGAGTTGCTCGGGCGAGCAATAAGATTAGATGATTTAGCACCAAGATCAATGAAATTGCTTCGAACTGGTTGCCTGCAGCTGTTACCGGTTCGAGACAACTCTGGAAGGCGGGTGTTCGCGGTGTCGGCCTTTAAAGAGAAATATGAAGTTGTTGATAGGGTAAGTGTTTTTATTCACTGGAATTTTTCCTTAAGGGTGCAGAGTGACCAATACGGTATTAGTGATACTACGTCCCGAACTCAAAAGGAGTTCTAATTTATTGTTTTGGTTTGCCTAAATTTAGATACAATTGTATCTTTACTTTCAAACAGTCTTAAGCGAGGAAGTCGAAAATCAAAGGAAAGGTGTGGTGTCTTTGGCTCTGGCGGGAGAACGTGCTGGAAACATTTTGAGGTTACCGTCGCGAATTGACCGCCATAGACTGCAGCGGTTCATTTTGTCAGCTCCGATAAGATTTTGTGCTCTGCACTGCTGTTATCCAGATACACCACTTTTTCGCATGGCGAAAGCTGTATATGCGCTGGGCTTACTAACATCCGAAACTACACGGTTTCGATTGAAAGCACACAACGGTAGGTTTCATTATACCGAACTATGCCATGCGTAGCAAGTGATCAGAGATTTTGGGTGTTTTTGTTGGCCTCTATTTCAAATGAAACAAAGTTACTAACAGCAATTCGCTTCTCAACGTTGACGCAATTTGTTGTATCCCAAAGGAACTGATATGGAAAATCGGTATCAGCTTAGGGGCTACGGCATACCGGAGGACCAGCTTCCTTTGACTAGTAGTGGAAAAGTTAAACCTCAAAAGGTTCACCAATGGATCAATATTCGAGCAACGATAGAAAGGAAAAGAATGGAAGAAGGCGTTTTCACGATGGGTCAGGACGATACCTCCATCATTGAATGTCCAAGGTTGAATGATGTCGCAATGAGACCCGGCAAGTCTTATCTGTGTCATCCAGGCAATGTCAGATTCAAAGAATTGCTCGACAAATACATGCACGAACATGCTGCAGCCGATCGAAGAGGAAAGGACAAAATTTCATGGGGGATCATCGACGAGATTGAACAATGGGGTGGACGCTTTTTAGAGTGGGACAATGTTGCTTGTTTTTGGGTTCAAAACAAGGACAGAAACAATGTTCGAACCAAGATCCCGGTCTACTTTCGGGATCACAAGAGAAATACCAGGGGGAAACGAAGAAAAGAAAAGCAGTTATTGAACGAGATGGCTTCTGCCTCAATGGATGTCACAAATCCTCTGAGATTTCACGAAAAAAAGAGAAGACTTTTTATAGATAAGAATATCGATACCAGCTGCTTATGTTGGACATGAGCTTTCATTGTGGAGTGTTTGCTTCTTGGAGAGTTCGTACTACTAGAACCATTGAGTATGGTTCCTCAATTATTATATTCAATATCGATAACGAACTGCAGCAACCAACAGAGAGTGAGGTGTCGCATATGTCTCTACAAGAAGAGAACGAAACAAAAACACGTCTCTATCACATCAAAAACAACAGATGTATTTGAACATTATTGCATGAATAACTAGATCTGCTCCATGATGTAACACATGATCTTCATTTGAATGGTTTCTTTCCCTTGTTATTGCCGCTTCATCACAGTCTCATATCATTCAATCGCAATTGGTTTTCAAATTTGGAATTAGCCACCATTTTTATTCTGCATGACGTCATAGTCGACATTACACAAGATTGTGAGAACATCATAAACGAATCTTTTCTAGCACCTCTTTACGCTATTTACAGTTCTAATCTTGCTTCCATTTACCAAGGAATCTGAAGACCGTCTTCGGCATTCACAAATGTGCCAGTATTCTCGAGGGAAGACTGCATGGCCTCATAGAGCACACGCTTTGCACCAACGGAAGGTTCGACGGCACCTTCAATGTCCCAGATGTGTTTGTACTTGGCAGTCATTTCTGTTCGGTTGAATCCAGGATGGACCATAAGGACAGAGTATCCCATGCTTCTGAGTTCCTCGGCTTGCAAAACTCCAGCAATGTTGCACGCAGCACGGCTCATGTGGTGCCCATAGTCACCACCTTCGTCCTTGTTCTGGACTTTTCTCCACTCAGCAGATCCCGCTTGACTAGTAATGATGACCAACTTAGCATCATCGGCAAGTGCTTTCGATTCTACGGCTGCGGCATTGACGCGGAGAGGTCCAAGAGCGCAAATGTCGATCTGTTTGAGTTGCTCTTCAAAGTTGAGGGACGAATCCGTAATTTTCTCGCAGGGTTCGTAAAAATATCCCGCATTGTTGATGACGTAATCCAGAGCTCCACCATCCGATTTAATTCTTTTCATTCCTCCCTTGACGGCCTCGGTGTCCGTGACATCGATGCCAGAGTAGACGTTCCACTTTCCGACCAGTTCTTCGAGCTCATCGTTTGAGGATCGGCACATGACAATCACGGTGGCACCATCGGCAACAGCCTGCTTGACGATTTCATAACCAAGACCTCGGTTTCCACCCGTGACCAAAATGCGCTTTCCCATGATCTCGTTTCCATTGTAGACGCTATCGATGTTGAGGAAGCGTTCATTCTTTTCTTCCTGTGCAGCCGCAAATCGTGCAACCTGATCGGCAGTGGAATATTCAGCCATTTTCAATGAGGTTGGAGTACGTGTAGCTGACGAAACAACAGCTCTGTTAGCACTAGCAACAGAAGGTGATTGGGAAACCCATGCAGCGACATTGGACGTGGCAGCAATAAAACCGAAAACGATGGAGGACTGGCGAAGGAACATCATGGTGTCTTTATTTTCAAATATTGTGGATCGGACACAAAATAAAAAGCTAAGGGCTGCGGTTTGAAAGTTCAACAAGAAAGACTCACCCACCGTCAAAGCTCTTGTCGTGATCGGTTTGATTATCCTCGAAAGAAAGTTGAGTTTGCGAAACATGAAAAACTTGTGACTGACGACTGTCTGTTTCGGATAACGTAACAGGATTGAACAGTTCGAGATCTTTGCTACAAGTGGAAGTTACACTAATAACGCGTAAAAAGAACTGAAGAACCGAAATCTACAGGCTCGCACAGCGCCGCTCCTAAGATTTACGACGAAAATGTCCGTACCGGTACAAAAAAAGATCTCATGAGGTGAGACGACGCGTAAAATCCAAAAACAATTCCCTTCGATTTTTGTCAATCACGAGTACGTATGTAGCGGTACGTATCAGTTCTACAGTACTTCCTCCGTCCATCTATGACCGTCCGATGTGACCTTTTTTGCTGTCCATGAATGATTGTCCCTAACCTATAGCCACAGTAGGATTGTGTAAGAATAGTACCAAGAACATTAACTTCTTATCATTATCACCAGGATTACTCCTATACTCCATCATCTAATACAAGAATTCTGAAGATACTACTAATAGTACTACTAGTATTACTGTGGAGCTGCTGGTGTACTACTACTAGTAGTAGTGGTACTGGTGGCTTGCTGCTGCTGCTGGGGGGCCTCTTGTTCAGCCTGAGCAAGGACTTGACGTCCCTTGATAATGCAAGCAGGATCACAAATAATCGAAGTTGGGAGACAATCTGTTCGTAACAGACTTGCTTTTCCCATGTGAGGCAGCTTATAATTGTTGTCGCCCTTACCACGAAGAGAAGCTTCCATACAAGCTTGAAGAAACAAAAACACGTTGTTCAGGGTCTCACGTTTGGATTCATTGAAAGCTTGATCCACATTGGCAATCAAATCATCAATATCCTTTGAGCGCTTCTTATACTGCAAACTTTGAATAGAATTAAAGAATCCAAGATCAAATACATTGAAGTCTGGACTGTTCGGTGGTTGCGTGGTCACACAAATGTTCCAGCCTGCATCTGCTGCAGCTTTAGCAATATCAGTTCTGATAGTCTGCTTGTGAGGCCTTGCATTATCCTCTTGAATGATAATCTCACCAGTAGGGGGACCACCATCAGCCCCCTTAGGCCACTTATCATAGATTGCAGGCAGTACTTTCTCCATCATCATTTGCTTGTACACTTCACTGTTGATATTCTGTGGCTTTGTTACCGGCGTTCCTTTGGGACGATTCACAGAGGTTCTTTTTGCTGGTTCTTTTACAACAAAAGGCCATATCCCAATTTTACTGTCAAACCATGTGTTCCTCTGTGAATCAAACCGAGGCCGTGCTGTTGCACAAAGAAACATCACCTTTGTCATATGGTTCTTTGACTTGGAAGTCGACTTTGGTTCAGTTTCTTCTGGTGGCAGCAGATACGATGTCTGTTTTGTGCGCTTCAGATAGAATCACTTCTCATCTACATGCACCCAATTAAACCAATCGTCAAATCTTCCATTCTCATCAACATGACTCAATACCCATTTGACTCGCCCAAGTTTATTTGCATGTGTTAGCAGAGGCTTTGTAGTTCCATTGTGCTTTCTGATTGCACCTCTTTTCACAAGCAAATGCAGAGAGGACTTGGGAATCCCTGTTACTGCTGACATAGTTTTAAGATTACCTCGGTCTTTCAGTGGAATGTTTTGAAGTACATCCAGGTCAGATAATGGTCTTGCTTTGCAACCACTTCTGTTTCTTTGGTTAGAGACATTCCCTGCAGGGCAATGGACTGGATCATAAGTTTCCTTATACCGCTTCCAAATCCTTGCTATAGTTCTGCTTGAAGTGTTGAAGACTGCAGCAGCATTCTTCAAAGCTCCTTTCACAAGAATCATGTCTTCTCCTCCATGACTGCTTCTCAAGTTTTGCAGAAGGTAGTGAAGAACTGCACTTCTTTCATTGTTGGTCAAGAGCTTGAACTTCTTTTGAGGACTAGTAGTACTTCTATTACTTCTTGCTGTATCGCTTGCCTTATCACTGCTGGCAGTGTCACTTGCAGTGTTGCTTGCCATATCGCTTGCTGTATCGCTTGCACCCCCAGTATTGCTTCTTGCAGTATCGCTAGCTTCAAGGAGCGCCATCATGTCAGTCACCATCTTGCTGTTGATTTGCTTTAGAAAGGATCAAGGGGAAAAAGTGAGTTAAGTGAGCAAAACAATACAAGCAGCAAGAACAAAGAGACAAGAACCCATCATTAGGTTGATTGTTGCGAGGCAGACGGTGAAGCAACGGAGGTGGGAAGCACCGGCAAGTCGATGGTTCTCCTCTTAGTGGAGGCAACGGAGACGCGGACTGGTTGATGGATCCCTCTTAGTGGAAGCAACGGAGACGCGGACCCTCTTAGTGGAAAGCGTTGGCTCAACGGAGATGGAGGCGTGGAGACAGCTTCTCCCCTCTTAGTGTAGGCGCGTTGGCTCACCAACGGAGACGGGCTGGTCAATGGATCCCCTTTAGTGGAAGCAACGGAGAAGCGAGTTGGTCTTCCTCCCCTCTTAGTGGAGGTGTGGAGGCGCATAGTGGAGACAAGGGAGATGCAAGGCGCCGGGGAGGAGTTGATGGATCCCCTGTTAGTGGAAGCAACAGAGGCAGGAGGCGCCGGCGAGTCAATGGATCCCCTATTAGTGGAAGCAATGGAGACGCGGACTGGGTGATCAATGGATCCCTGCGAGTGGCTTCCCCCCCTCTTAGTGGAGGTGCGTTGGCTCAACGCGTTGGCAAGTCAATGAGTCACTTGAGGTGCAAAGAAGAAGGCTTGGATATCAAAGAAGCTGGTCTGAGTCAGTTGAATGGAAAGAGCAAAGTGACAGAAAGGAGTCAAAAAGAGGAAATTGGGAGGTGTAGTGAAATCAAGAGTGAAATTTATCACTTGAAAATAACACGGGGAGCATTTTTGCACCATCTGCACAGCACTTTTTTTTTCTCTTCAAGGATTCCTCTCTCAAGCTCAAAATTAAAAAAACCACATGAAAACTACACGCACCCGAATACGCCTGAGCAGTTTTTTGGCTCTCTCTAACGACCATCTAAAGACTGCATGAAACATTATCAATAAGTACGATAGTAAGTATATCATTTTAAAGCTCTCAGTCTGGGCTTTTTAAAGAAACCAGTCCCGTCTTTGAATGACCAGTAGAGCATAACTGACAGTGAAATCACATTGATATGCCAAAAAATGCCCCCTTTAAGTAGCTGTTGCCAATGCGTCAGTCACATTAAACATATATTATCTTCGTGACTGTATAACAATCTAATAGATCTGTTTAGTTCAAAAAGAAGCAGTCAAATTGCCCAAATATTGAGCTTATTCTAAGCGTAGAGGTGCAAACTGGACAATCATTCATGGATGGAGGAAGTACTTATTTGCTGATTCCCGCAAACATTCAAAATATTTTTTTTTACTTCGTATTGGATTAGGACATACAACAAATCCCATAGTGGTCCTATTACGTAGACTACTACTACTAATAGTAGAACCAACAAACATTTTACTTCGGAACAGCATTACACAAAACGCAAGATTCATTGTTGTTCTTGTTATCATGCAAGTACTACTAGTACTACTACTAGTAGTAGTACAGTACTACTAGTATGCACTTCCTTACTTGTTCTGTGGTACTACTTACATTTAGTAGCAATGGATGATGCTGCATCTAGGCTGTAGTAACAACAAGTTGCTACTACTAGTACTAGTAGTATGCACCTTCTATTCTTCTTCCCTTTGCCCTTTTGTCATTCGGTCCCCCACTCTTTCCTAGTAGTACGAGTAGTAGTACTAGTAGTTGTAGCACCACATTATCAGTTGGTCTGGATGTCGTCCGCACATATTTCTTCTCACATTCAACACCTTTCTATCACCAGTTATTTTCCATTCGACTGCGACTATGTTTTAATGCTGGTCACCCCTAACTGGTACTCGTCCACCGTACCATTACAGACAACACATTGAGATCAAGATACGGGAACCGACAAGGAAAACCCAGGATTTTAAAATAGAGTAGTACAGTTTGTTGTGAAGTTGCGAAGAAGTTTCGAACAATCTTCGAATTTCTAGCTGCCACCACAATCGTTACAATAAAGGAGGAAAAACCTACCCACCACTTCAACATGACAGAAGTTCGACGCTCCGAATTGGGTGGCCATTTGGGTCTGTTTGCTCTGAAAGATTTCTCAGCTGGAGATGTTATTCTCGAAGAAATGCCCGCAGTAACATTGGCTCCATCGAATGATGAAGTTTCTCAAGATCTTCTGTTGGAGTGGAAAAGTGGATCATCAAAGAAAGGAAGGAACGTTACTGGAAAGCGCAAAACGATATGGTCTTCTATAAAACCGCCGCCTTCGAAGTTGGTACCCAACCATTTGCGTGGCACTTTCAAGGGAATGGTGCAAGCAGGCATCGTTTTCATGAAAAACTACAAGGATGATATTGGACCAGAAAAGTTAGAGTCAGTCCTTGAACTATATCATCCAGAAGAAAACACAGCCTCAGATGCAGAAAAATACATCATTAACGTGGCAGATGAGGCAATTCTTTATTTAAAGCAGCACATAACGACTACAAAAACGACTGGAGCAGTATTTTCCAATTTCGATGACTGGGACAAACTACACAAAGTTCTACTGATATGGGCTTGCAATTCATTTCAAGGCGGTCGTTTGTATCTTGAAATATCTCGAGTGAACCACAATTGTAATCCGAATGCTTTGATTCAAACATCAGGTGTGGAGCACAACGACAACGAAAGCGATGGTAAGAACGAGGGGCAGAAATTGATGGCGGCGACGAAGATCAAAAAGGGGTCCGAGATTTTTATTTCGTACCTTGGTCTGTTCCTCTACACAGACACAGCCACTCGGCGAAAGAAACTAGAACGCACGAAATTCTTTATGTGCGTATGTTCCAGGTGCACCGAAGCGATAACTAAAGGCGTGGAAGGAGCCGCACAAATCCCATGTCTGACTGCTCACCCGCGAAACCAACAGATGTCACTCGACGAAGACGTCCAATATGATGACGATCAGACCGTCAAATACACCTTTTGGGGCTTGCCTGAACAAACGGGAGGGACCGACGATGACAAAATACGCAAGGTTCTTCGCAATGTCAGCGGAAAAGTGGAACTATTTTTGGACACATACGACGATGGACAATCAAAGAGCGATGAAAGTAGTGGCGACGACAGCCAGGAAGCGAAAGATGCCATTTTAGAAGAGCACGCAAGCCTGGCTTCAACAATCATGGGCGACAGACAMTGGACAACCAATTTGACCTTACTGCTTCATCTAGACACCCGTTTGAAAGCCATGTCACAACGCATGATAGTCACACAGGAACTCCCCGAGGAGGAGGACATTGCAGAAGCCATTGATAGCTTGCAGCGGATATCTCGTTTTGTAGACTCCATAAACCTGGATATATGTCCAGGGCATTTGTTAGGGGACGTGACCATCGGGACTGCCCGAATGCTTATTGCGATGGGGGATGAAAAATCACAAAAATATGGGGCAGATTGGTTGTGCAAAATTGAAGATTACGTCGATAAATTTGCGAACAAAGGTGTGCAGAAAGTTGTATCAGTGTTGAAGGTTGCATGGAAGAAACACAACCGATCCAATGATGACGCTGATGTCGAATCCCCGACTAAGAAGAAAAAGGCAAAGGTTGTTTAATGATTAACACATGGCATGATTTGCTGCATATTATGCTGTACGAGAATGCATGCTACTAAGCAACAAATAGAATACAACAAAAAATTAACATCAATACTCAAAAATTATCTTAGTAACATTCTGTAATGGCTGCATGAGTCAAACTCAACTTTGAACACTAACACATAATCGATTCATACTGCATCCGTTGCAGTATTCGATAAGGTCAATGTTTTAATAAATATGTACGAATCCATCTGTCCAAGGCACTATAAGCTAAACTTTGAACAACTTGTTGCTCTTTTTTATCGAAATCGGAACTGACCCGGGAATTGAACTGTTTTGAACCACCGGAAAGCATCCAACCCGCATCGCCCGAAAGCATCCACGCGGTATTCGCTGCCTCAAGATTTTCAGCTGCATTTCTTTTGTTCAAAGGCTCTTGAACCATCAGCAATTTCCAAATTGTGTCGATAGAGTTTTCGTCAACTTTGGAAAAGCAATCATCGAGCTTTATACAAGATGTCTCTCCCGCATGTTTTGTCAACTCTTCCTTCTCCCACACCGACAGTCCCGAGACCACCAAAAAGTCTTCAGCGCGTCCCAATCCTGTTTTGATAGCAGTTTCTGCATCTTTTCTGGTGCATTTCCAAAAGATACTGCGTGCTTTCCCCTCTTGTGAGACAGGTTCTCCAATCCTTGCCTCTTGAAGAATTTCATTATTACAGTGAAACCAGAGCTCTGGAATGCCTTCGTCGTCCAATTCAAATCTTCCCCCGTACCGCAGTGGTAGGCTCGTGCCACCAATACTGACGCTAGTTGAATGTGGTCGATTGAGTACAACCCCAATAGTCATCTCTGGATTGTCTTGTAAGATGAGAACGAGTGACTGGTGAAAGACCTGTTCATCGAATAAAATTGTAGTGGATGATCTAACCAAAGTTCCAGGAGAAAGGTTACAAGCGCTTTTCTTCCTTGCATGCATTTGCTGTCGGCTCGATTTTGATCTCTGAAGTTCATTACTCGACTTCTTGAGTAGCCTCAATCTCATATATTGCTTTAACATATCATCTTCAAATTTTTGGTTTGGTGAGGATATCATCAATGATTCTTTTCCTATGCGCTTCATCATTTGTACCCACTTGTCGGTTCCTGTCGAAAAAGTAGATTCTTGTACGATAATGTCCCATAGAGACTCGGTGTCGGTTGCCACCATAAACCAATCGCCTCGCTTAATTTGTTTTTCAAGCTGACCGGGTCCCCAAGCCGAATATCCGTGATAGAGTCTAAAATCTTCTTTTTTGGCTTCTTCTTCGTCCACCAGGCATTGTGCGATGTCTAAGGGCATAATTGCAATATCGTTCAAAATCGACAAGGCCATACCAATTTTTACACGCGACAAGTCGTTGAGTCGAAACAAGCACCCGAGAGATCCGTCGCTCGAACCGATTCCTTCGGTGTCACCTCCAAAATGACAAATCCAGTTCTTGTGTTGTTCATCCTGTAACTTTCTATTCAGAATGATTCCTTTCGTGCCATCCTGGGAATGCTCAATTACTAGAATTATGCACTTGTGAAAATGTTGTTTCTTGAGTCCTCCCCAATCCTGATATGGGTGACTCACAATTAAGGAACCAACTTCAATGACATCCCCCGAATCATACGCCCAGCGATTCATGCCTGGTATTGGTGGCATGCATGTAGTATTGCTTCTATTCGTAGTAGTGTGATCATTTCCTTTGTCGTACTGCATTACCAGTTTAGCACGGATATCTCGCCAGTCTTCCTGAGGATCATCCCCATTTTGATTCGAATAAAACAACGGGTTGAGACTTCCTCGATCCTCAACTCTCAATCCCAGAGACGGCAGCGCGGGGAAAGTACAATGACGAAATGAAAGGCATGTCTTCACCAGCATCAAAGCAATGGCTGCGGTTTGACCCATCATACTCGTCAATTTCATATTGTTTTCTAGTACACGAATGCGCAGTCTGTGTCTCAACTTTTACTTTCTTTCTGAGATGAAGTAATGACGGACAATGACAGTGCTAGCTCAAAAGACGTCGGTGACGAATTTTTATTGCACCGGGGCATTCTTTCTCAGTGATGACAACGGAAGAACACGCTCAAGAATTTTACCTTTCGAGAATAAGAACATTGAAAAATTCAAATGAGAACAGCGATCACAAAAAGTTTGGTGTCAAGGCCCGAGTCAAGAAGATGTTCGGAATGCTTCATCATCGAATCAAAATCTTGTTTGCAGCGATTCAATCGTGACTAGAATAGTGCCTTTTATATGATTATGAATAAGGATATCGGTAAACTGTGACAAAAAAATCGTAATTGATTTTCAAAACCAATTTTTGAATTTTTGAAAAAATTAAAATAAAATTGGTATTTGCAGCATGACACCTGAGCGACAAACCATGGCACACAATCCAATCTTCCGAAAGAAGTATGATGGAAAGCGACAAAAACTCATCGAATACTTCTTTAGCAAGGCTTTGTTCCGGGATCCCCGATCTCGTCTTTCCAGTGGTCGGTGGATGCGTCGCTTTTGGAACCACGCTCGCAGTGTCAACTGCTGCACAAAGATTCATTGGGATATCTACCGGAACTAAGTTTGTGCCATCATTTTTGGGATTTGCCACCGTTTGTGGAGCATCATTGGTTAGTGAGCAAGCTGCCATTCTATCATATGAACTTAAGAGAGATCCCAGGAAAAGAAGCTTCGAATATGTACAGAAGAAAATCAGACATCAATTTTTGGAAACTTCTAGGAATGTGATGGGATCGTCATCGCTCTTGAGAGGAGAAAAAGGCCATCAGTTCAAACTACCGATGCACGAGATTCGAGTGTAAGAACGTTGTCAATGCTGATAAGAGCGCAAAAGTAGTTGATTCATATTGTCTTTCTAATTGACCATTGTTTTTTCATATTTCTCTCAGTTGTCTGCTTGGTCTACTTGCCTTCAAGTCTCTGGGTGGTCGCTTTTGGGGAATCGCACCTTCTTCTTATACCCACCTTGGATCATTCACACGGTGGTCGATTCCATGCACTGAAAATTATGCCAACACCAAAGAGCGGGTCATGATTGAACAAATGGGTAGAAAATGGGGCTGTCACACGTGTGGATCGAAAATGTACTTTTCGTCCGCAAAATCAGGCATTACCGGCAAATCGTATCGATTTGTCGGAGACCACATGCCCCCAAAAAGTGTTGCCAAGCACATGAATAACCAATGGTTCCGAAAAATTGGATTATGGCCAAAGGTTAAGTTTCGCTTTTATCCACAGTGCGTGTCATGTTCAAACGTACAGGGTTCTATTTTATCGAAAACAGGAAGTGGATTAGGTCTACTCCCGAAACATAGTTGGGCATCAACGATGCATGGTGCCGGAGGTGGAACTAGTGCACATTTTCATGGATTCACGCCAAGAATAAACCACTTGGCGGGGGGAGTACTAGCCGCAGCGATTGTTGTAGGGGCAGACGATGACGAGATAGCCAAAGGGAATCCAAAGCGACTAAAACAGTGGCAGAAACAAATCCAAAAACGTTTTACGAACGAGCTACGGAATTTCTAATGGTTGATGCTACCACACGCAATTACTGCATACGCAATTACTGCATACGCAAATGCATTAAACATCAATCTTTTTCATTAAAAAACAGCGAACTAAATGTGTTTTAGTTCCAGTAGGGCGGAGAATATCCATCCGGATAAACACCAGAGATAACTTGCCTCCTGATATTGTTCATTTTTGTTGTTTCGATGCTTCTTCTCAATCGGATCTGAGAGTCTTTCAGTAATTCTACAAGCTCGTTCACTTCTCGAGCCTGTGCTGCCATATATTCATACTCTTTTCCTTCGGTAGGGCTCTTCACAGCTTGAGCCTTTTCCTCTTCCTCCTTCTTTTTTTCATTCATTCCTTGTTTCAATAATCGACGCTTCTCCGCACGGGCTCTTCGAGATAATATTACGCCAATGCACCTGTGGCACATAAAGTCTTCGTCGGGCTCGGGTTCTTTGAGAGTGTATTTCGTTCGAATGCAGCTGAAGTGTTCCACGTTGCTGCAATATTCACAACAGAACAAAGTGCCACCCTTCTTACACACAATACAAAAGTCTTGGTGTTCCCCTGTAAAAACTTTGATGCTAGGATAGCGACCGGATTTTATTTCGTCCACCAACGCTCCCACGTCAATGGCGGGTGGCAGTGGTTTGGGAGGAGGGGCTGGCTTGGGCTTCACGGCTCGCTTTCGCCTCTTTTTCTTGCCAATGTTGTTGCCCACATTTGCCCCTTTCTTTTTGCCCGGATACTTGAACCCCAGTGCCTTGTAGACCTCGGCATACATGCTTCCGTACTTTTGATCGTTCGCCTTACGCTTTTGAATTTGGAACGCGCCCTTCAGATTCTCGAGCAAATGATCCATTTCGTCGTCCCCACCCCTCAACAACGACGCTCGTAGAGGTTGGTTTCCTTCTTGTTTGACTTCTGGGACATTTATTCTCCGTTTCGAAACCAACTTGAAACCCATGCCAATCAAGATTCCGGGATAAACACTTAGCTCGCGCTTTTTCTTCTTTTTCCACCGTCTCTTGTTTCCACTCTCATCTATCATCGAGTCATCGGCTTTTCTCTTTTTGACGAATTTTCTTCGTTCTGGGAATCGAAGAATGTCACAAACTTCCCGTTCGATCCTCGATTGAATGGCGTCGCGTTTCACCTTTTTGATAGCAGCCTCTTGAATGCATTTCTTCTGCACACAGTGCGACCTTCGAGAGCTTGCAGAGTTGAAGGTACGTCCACAATCCGAGCAATAAGACACACGAATGGCTTTCTCGTACGGTTCTGTAAGGAGTCTTCGTCGCAAAAACAGTTTTTGGCATCGTTGTTCGGTTTGTCGCTGCCCGTGGTCTCGTTTGACAGGGTCGTTTCTCTGGAGGCTCAGAACATGCGTTCGCTCGTCGGGTATCCATATGCATTCTACGATGCGATTCGGGAAGGAATCCTCTGGTTCCTTTGGATCCCTCGCCTTGGTGGCCAAAGGAGTGACATCGGCCTCGGAGAGCAAAATGGTTTCTGTGCTGCCACTCACAAGGGCCTTGTTAGCGCAAATGACGCTCTTCATGTGTTCCGGGTCCCCATCAAAGTACGCCTCAAAGATGGACCGGCGGTGAACGTTGCCTTTTTCGTAAACGGCATTGATGGCATTGCGACGCACCCGAAGCTTGCTGGACCGTCGAACATACTTTCCGGCTTCCTTGTGCACTTTGGAAGCCTCGGACTTTTTGAACTTTCGGTGTCGCTCCTGAATGTCTTTTGGGAAAACGGCAGTGGGAATGGCTCTGTCGTCCCTGACCACCTCAACCACACCAAATTTGGTGACAAATTGTTGCCCAGGGTTCAACGTTGGAAACGGTAGCAGCTTGTGGTCGCTCGTGATCGCAACCGGAGTTTTTCGACACACCTTTTGCTCTACGGTGTGGTTGCGTTTGTGGTTGTTTCGTGAAAGGCATACAGTTCGTCCATTTCATCCATTATGGTCGCGGTATGTATCGATACAAGGAAAGAGTTCAAAACGACGTAAGAGTTTTCGCCCAACACTTTCGTTAGAAATCCAGTGTCAAAGAATAGAAACGGAATGGAATACGCTGTAGTGCTGTGCTTCACTTTGCTCACCTATGTGGTACCTCGCACCTAGAGCACTAGTGAATAGGCGATTGCAATGCGGACACGTCCGCTCTTCCACGGTCCCGCGAAATTTTGCGGACTTTGACTTCGTGGTTGCTGTTGCTCGAGGGGATTTCCGCCTCGGTTGCTTCCGGCGGGATCCATCCTCTCCGCGGCACACCATCTTGTCGATGTGGTATTTCAGCCCGTTCAGATTTTTGAAGGCTTTTTCACAGTGCGGACAATCAAAGGTCTTCTCCTTGTCTAGGGACGGTGGCTGTTCTCGCATCGCCTCATCCGCTTTCCGTTTCGTTCCAGCGCCAGCATAACGATTATTCTGCTTGTCTTCGACATCCCCGGCACTTTTGTCGCCCTCTTCTTTCTCTTCGTTCCTAGATACGTACACGCCATCGTCCTCGTCGTGTTCGCCCTCGCCTAGTGTATAGCTGATTGGTCTCTGAATGCTTCTTCTTGGCCGCTTGCTCCGAAGCTCTCGTTCCATCGATCGATTTCCCTCGTCCAGTGGCGTGGCCGTGGATCTTGCCGTTCTGCTCGGAGGCTTCTTGCCTCTCAGCAAACGGGTGAGCTTGGACCCTTTGCGACGACCCGACGGCGACAATGTTTCGTTACCGTTGACGCTGGGCATACTTTTCTTCGGCTTCGTCGCCATCCGCTGTGTTTTTTGTCGATGTTTCAAAATCTACCTCAGAAACTACCGATCAAAGATAGCAACCGAAAGGTTGTATGTGATGACAAACTGCTATTTCATAGCGTACATACGCAGTACTGATTTCTTAAGGTTGGAGTGGTTTCAGAAAAAAAAACAATTGAAGAATTAACATAACCAACCAACCAACAAATTGTCAAAGCCCATTTGCACAGAGGTTATTGTTGCCTTTATTCCTTGGGCAACATCTTGGAAAAAATTGTGGTCAAGCCAGCCTGTCCAACTGATTTTTCAACTGTTCAAAGTTTTTTGTGTAAACAACAATCTAGCTTGATTGGAGTAGTATTTACAGGTTTCCTGCCTGCCAATATTTTGCCAATCTTGCCAACATCTGATGGACAAGCTGGCCAGTTTCCTTGGGAATTGCAGATCTGGCTTTCTGCTACCAACTCCAATCAAATTGAATGAGTCCAATGAGGAATAAAGGGAGAAGTTTTCTAAATTTGTTGGTGAATCTGTTGAAAAGGGATGTAACGAGTATATTTTATTTTGTACCAGACGTGGTGCAGAATAAAACTTTTACTACTAGTAGGTTGTGGGTTGAAAATTTCAGGGTACAAACAGGTACAAACCAGTAGAGAAACAGTTAACTGATTACGGTGGAATCTTTGTAGACATCTATATCTCTCTGTGATAATAATCGCAGGAATTCCAGGTGACAAACAATGATCCTACTAGTAGCAGTGTAAAGGAATTTCTGTTCACAGAATGACTGGGTATTTCCAAGGACAGTCCATAATTTTGGATGGCAACCAAGAATATAGTGGAAGACCAATGCATTCTCTGAAATGATCACTGTTGTAATGGCAATAATTTTGGTGGAAAAGCTGCAAAATATTTTCAAACAATTGTCTGATGACATTGAATTGCTTGCTGCAATAACATATTTGTGTAAAATTTTGTCAGAAATTACAGTGTTACTACTGATACTGTTTGAACATCAGTTAGGAAAGATACACTGGAACTGGTGGGGGATGGAATGGATGAGATGCTGAATGCAAAAAGCTGGGTGGAATGAAATTCTGAAAATGTAGAAACAAGAGGTCCCTGATCAGTAAAAAAAGCATGTTTGTCAACAGGAAGCCCATGTATCCAACACAACTGTACAGCCCAGGAAAGATGGAGTGTCGTTTCCCAGGGAATAATTGCCCACACAAGAGGAATAGAGTTGCCAAAACAAAGCAGTAACTTTGATTTTGTAGTGGAAACAATTGCCCACAAAAATGGGCATTATCATGGAGCCAAAGTGAGTCTTCAATGCAATAGGAGTGGCCACAAAACAATGGGAAAAACATCCAAACGAGTCAACCTGGACTGCAACTGATATGTTGTTGTTTTGCTCATGCAAAATTTGAAGCCATTGGGCCATCAAATTGTAGTCATCACCCAGATCTTTGACTTCAAGATACCAGATACACAATGTCTTGGACTTGGAGATAGTTGAAACTTGCTAGTTAGGTGGAAAACAGTATGCTCATGTAACCAGTTGTAGATGGCTCTTGTTGAAAGGTGATTCTGGTTTCCAGGACAAGAGCTCCCATTATACAACAGCTGCAGTTGCTTCTGAAAGGGAGGGAAATGAGTTAAGAGAACGACTGAGTCCACCAATAATGAATCTTTCTTGTGACAAAGAATCTGAGGGGTTATACCAGTAAAGACATATTGAGTTCCATTAGATTTGTCCATTTGGAGAAGGAATGAATTTGGCCTGTCTGCTTTCACCACATAGTTCACAGCAAAGACACATGCAAGTGTGTATTTTCTGATTCTTTTTGTAATTTGCGGTAGGGTGGGGTCAGATTGGGATGCCCCACTGGTTGAAACAGTACACTTGAACAAAATGGTGACAGATGTGATTCAAGTTCAATATTGCCAGACAGGAAAAGGAAACATACTGCCGGGAATTACAATACTGTTGAAGAGCATCAGGATGCCAAACTAGAACTTCATTGGACATTCTGGGAGATTGATGAATGTGGAATTCTTCAGATAGGCAAAAAAACAATGATTGTTAATAAAGGATGATAATATCCCAAGGGAAAGTATTGCATAAAGGACACGAGACAGATAAATGATGGATATGATGGCGCAGACACAAGTTGCGTTGAGACGTATGGTAATGGACCAATAMTTTTTCACCATCAGTTGACAGTACAAGGAAATGAGTTTACAGAAATGTCATGCACAAGGAAATGAGTCAAGGAAATGAGTTTACGGTAATGTCGTGCACAAGGAAATAACCCACAAATTAACTGACAAATAACCCACAAACCTGCTGGGCCTATTTTCAAAAATAAAAAACAGTGATAAAATAACTTTAATGACAAAAATACTTAACATCCTTGGTTCTCCATCAACCCAGATGACTGTAAATTTGTGGGTTATTTGTGGGTTATTTTATGGGTTATTTGTGGGTTCCTAGGTTCTTTTGTGGGTTATTTTTCAAATAAAATGGGTGATTCCCGTTGTTCTAAAAACTCTAGATTTGATAGACTGACAGACCAAAAATTTAGTGAAAATGACTCCAAATTTAGCAAGTTTAGGACTGGCCAAATCGACCAAATTTCGAGTCCGTTGAAGGACTCTCAAGACTCAACAGAAAGGCCCGCCAAAATTAAGACTCCGTTGTTGTAAATAGTAAGAGCAAGCAACAAGAAGGCGCCTCTAATATTGACCATAGTGCCTCCTCTATTAACATCAACAATAGTCACAAAAGGCGCCTAAAGAATGGAACACAATGAGGCGCCTAAAGCATGGAACACAATGACTCAACCAGCCATTATAGTTGCTACATTCTATTTCCTCTCTTTGTTGTACCAAAGAGAGCAAGGAGAGGAGGCCGGCAGTTGTCCCCCCATTCCCCAGCACATTATTTTCCTTCTTAGTAAGATGGTGGGTCAGGACGTCCTTGCAAATAACGGCAACGCCAACAACAATGGCAATGTCAACGCCAACGCCAACATCGGCTGAAGAGCTGGTTCCTTCAACTACTCAGAGGAAGAGCTAGAGAGTCTCATGGAGTTGATAGTGGAGGTGCTCCCCATTGATTTGGAACAGTGGGATACTGTTGTCACCAAGCATGCTGTAAAATATCCCTTTGATAGAAGCAAGAAATCCATCAGGAACAAGTACAACACTATCAAAAAAAAGAAGAGCTCAACTGGTAACCCCAACATGCCTAGGTACGTGAAGCTTGCCAAGCGCGCCCATTACTTGATAGGAAGGAAAGCAAACCTTGGTACCGGAGAGGAGGACTTTGACATGAAGAAAGGCTTCATTGTTAGTGAGGCTGAGGAGGTTTTGGAGAGGATTCCCTCTGCTGAAGTACAGCAAGGAAGAGCATTGGTTATCCATGCTGGAGACGCATCGACCATAGACTCATCCATCGTGAGGCCAGCAAAAGTAACATTTTCTACTCCAAGCAATAAGAGAGCTTATTCAAAAGCTCCCAACGCAACTGTATTCAATGAGTATTTGATTAACCAGCAACAAAGGGACAAAGAAAATTGTGAGATGGCTTTAGAGCAGTCCAAGATTGCAAAGGAGCACTCGCTAATAGCAAAAGAGGCAACCCAAATTGCTAAAGAGACCAATCAGATGTGGAAGGATGCTCTGAGCATGGCCATGGCTTGCTTTCAGCAATGGCAAAGCGGAAACGGAAACAACAGGCAAAACAGAAATGGAAACAACACTCACCAGTCAATTGAGAGCAACACCACTCACCAATCGATCAAGAGCAACACCACTCACCAATTGATCGAGAGCACCAGAAAACGCCCCCGTAAAGAAGATGGAGGTGACTCCCATGGTGAAAAGGAATAAATCGCAAACGCAAACACTAAGTTGATACTAATTACTAATTCAAATACACTCCGTCGATACTAATTCAAATGAACTAAATGAAGTTAAACGTATCAAAAATTTCATGTTTTACTTTGTACCAATAACCGAATGGCGCGCGTTCTGAGTCTTTTTAGTCATTACGTTGAAAAATAATTACTAGGATTCCAAATTATGTAAAAGACTGGCATCGACCCGGCATCCTCTCAGTCTGTCCGTTGATTGTCTTGATTCCCGTTACTCCATATCCCTAGATTTAGAGTTTTAGAGATCTAGAGTAACGGGAATCACCCAATAACCCATGTTTTTCTAGGGGAAAAATTCGAAAAGGGGGATGCGCGCGTGGGTATTTGGGGGCATAGGATCGGGTACGTACGGGAAATACGGAAATACACAAGAAGTCGCACGGCAGGTTTTGTTTTTCGTTTCAAAACCTTGTGGAAAGCAGGAAGAGCTAGCGGAGGCAGCTGCGCACTCCACTTTGGGCAATCCACTACCGAAGCCAACGGCCAGACAAACGGCAATCCAATCCTTCAATCCATCGATCAATCCGCCGGGCAATGGGAAACTCGTCCAGTAGCGGCGGGGCCGCACCGGAAGCCCCGGGGGTTTGCCTAGATTGCGACAAGAAGCACCAAAAGGACCTGCCTGCGAGCGATCCGGTGTCACAACCGGGCCGGCCCTGCGCCGAGGTGTATGATTGCGTTGCCGCCTGCATGACCAAGAACGGTGGTAGGGTTTCCTCCTGTGCAAGCGAGTGGGAGGTCTTTCGCAAGTGCCACCAGAACGAGCAGCAACGGCCACAGCAATAGAAGGAGAGACGATAGAACCGAACCGAGTGTTGGTGTGTGGGCAGCAGAACTTTCGCAGGACCATCTTTGCTTCCTTATTTCTCCTTGATGATTATTTCTGGACTCTTTGATGGGATAGATGGTTGAGTAAAGTGAAAAGCTAAGCAAAGTGGATCGATCGATCTATTTTCGGATGTGTCACATGGCGAGCGCTGGTTTTCAAGATTGAACGCAGATTGGTCCTGGCAGCAGCTTGTTGGCCTCTATCAATACTTGTACTTTGACGCGACATCCTTTCCAGAGTTGATCTTGTCGCACTGCCTGTTTCTAGACATACTGATCAATCCGTCATACGGACAAACCCATACTCGAACTTGAGGAGATGGTATGGATTTTGACTCGAACCTGGATATGAAAGTTTCCCCGAAGCATCTTCAGGTGTGACATGTCTTTCAAAACTGTACAAAACGCTATAATTTGAAGTTGGCCACTTATCCACAAGCAGGCTGGAGTTGAATGCAATCACTATTATGCAATCAGCTTTCTATCCATACAAACCTTAGCATGGCACGGCGTGTTCAAAGTATTAAAAATAGTTGGTGCGAGTGGATCGAAATAAATCACAGAAAAACTAATCATTTGCAAAGGGATCAATCGTGCAATAAGATCTTGTTAGTATCTTGATTCAGTTGAAAAAATTGTTTGCGCCCATTACAGGCATTATTATTTTACAGAAAAAATATATGTTTCTTTGCGGAGAGTATTTTTTCATAGGATCTTGGGTGATCGCAAGTACAGATGTTGGTCCCAACCTGAGAGTTGGACACCTAATGTTATCGTGTAATTGATATGTTCATGCAAATCAGTCTTCTTTTCTTCAAGCATCAACGACTGTCTGACGAGTAGAAAAATTCCGATGTCGTCAATCTTATCAATGTGTATTACAACAACCATCATTCAAATAAGTTCTAGAACGCGGTGGGAGGCGATATCGCATCCTTCAACAGTGGCATATCTCTCCACCAGGAGTTCTGTTTCGTGCTCATTGCTGTTTCACAAAAGAATTGGGAATGGTGTTGCCGTTGGCGGCGATGAGGACTCTGACTGCACTGCGATATCCCACAATCCTCGCTTGCAAGCGACGGAATGCATTTTGGGACGTTCCCATATATTTCCATATTCATAGCGCCATCGAAAAAATTGCTAATTCGTCTCCTCGGGATCTGTTGAGAAGCAACAAGATTGAAATGAAGAAGATGCATTGTTGGTTGACCATAGAAACGGAAAACATTGTCCATCAAGTTTGTCATCAACGGTTAAAACACAATATAATAATATTAGACAAGCCATGGCACTCACAATCGAAGTCGGAAGAGATTTGAAGAAACTTGCACGCCTCCTTTTTCTGCATTCCACGTTTCTTCACAAGGTAGCTCTTGCACTCGAAAATATTGTCCGTCCAGCGATGGGCGGCCTGAATAACAATCGCCATATGCATATTTGATTCATTCATTGTCAAAAAGAATGGAATAGAGAAGAAGCAATTTTGGCACGCGGGGTACACCGTGTGAGAGACGGGAAGGAAAGACATGCTTCATGCAGAGGGATGCAAACGGAAACAAAATGATGCAACATGCTTGCTTCCTGTAAATTTGTGCATGTCCCTTCGTTTATTCGCACCTGTGTGACAAGCTTGAGTTCCTTTTCGAGGTCTGCGAGGGTTGCTGGATCGTTTTCCTTGAGCTTGTCGAGTTCCGTCTGGAGGGCGGCCTTTTCCTTGCCAAGCTCTTCCAGGCGTGCGAGTTTCTTGGCTCGTCCACGCACGGGAACCGCTCCGGATCCTTCGTCGCCGCCATCCTTCTCAGAGGATCCGCTTTCCCTTCCGTCACCGTCGTCGTCTTCCTCGCGACCGCGCTTCGCGTCCGCAAGCCTGGCTTCGGCCTCGGCCACCCTGGGCTTGAGTTCCTCTATGGCTTTCAGCGTAGTTTCGTATCTGACCTGCGCCGCCCGGTCTTTCTTGGCCTTGAAGCTCCAGAAATAGTTGCTTCCGCCGATCTTGGTCTTTTCGACCAGGGCGTCGTCGATCATTCCCTGGTGGATGTCCGGGATCGAGTTGGCGTTGACGCCCGCCTTGGCCGCCAGCGATGTGATTTCCTTCTCGGTGTAGACCAGTTGCTCCTTGTGGTAAATACTGCGTTGCGAAAGGAAGAAGAGTGAAAGTATGGAGGAACAGGCGAAATCAATCGTCCATGGGTGAGGACTGCGAACAAAAGAAGAAGACGAACCAATAGGGCACGCAGCTGTGCAGTCTCGTGGCGCTTACCCCAAGATCACCTTGCGCTTCTCCTCGGCCGACATTCGTTTCGTTCCACCCATCTTGACGATTCTTCCTGGTTTCTTCTTTAAGTGGCTATGTTACAATTTGTCGATCAGTGCGTTGTGGATTGCCCAGAGGTAATGCAATGATGAAAGAAGGATACAGAATGTCGTGCCGACAAATTATTTCAGCTTTTCGAAGTTCTAACGGTACGAGTACGGCCTCGGAAGTACATCACGTCACCAACCAGATACTCGTATCCTGGTACTTTACAAACTTGTACGAGTACTCGTACGAATGCAACGAGGACTCTTTTGAGGTGTTCGGAATAGGTACCGTACTAAAACGTACGGTACGTAGTTTCGTGTCATACTTACTTTGTACGGATTACGGATACCAGATTGCACTTTCCGCTCTGTTTTTCGTCTATTTGGATGGCGCGAATCAGGTTAGTCGAGTCGAACTGGTCGAAGAGATAAGCGGATAGCTTGTACGCACTACCACCAAAGTATGTAAGTACTTCGTACTTGTACTTTCACGGGCAGGGAGGTTGACGGACGGACCCCACACCAAGCACAGCTTGTTCACACAGTACGAAACCGTACGTAGCTGAGCGAACGATCTTTTCTTCTGGTTTGAGTCGTGGAATTTTTCGACTGCTCACTGACGAGTTGCGGATGGCATCAGAATAGCGCTGCCCCGAACGAAAAGTCCAAGCATTCCGTCGAGGCTGTCACGGAGATCACTCTGTTCCGAATTGGCAAAATCTTTCATGCAGATCTCTCCGTTTCGAAAATGGATTCGAAAATGGAAACTCCGGTGGTCATCGCAGACCGACATCCGGGAGGGGAATTCTCGCCCCTTCTCCGCTCCAACGCCGACGATGGTTGTGACAAGAATACCGGCATCGGCGACGCTGAATTCCAAACTCCATTTGCACATTTCATTGCTGACGACGAAAAGGTGTTTGTGGGATCTACCGGGTCGTGGCTTCGCCTGTTGCTATTTTTTGCGGCATGCGTTATATCGGGCGGGGTTCTTCCGGGCCAGAACGTTTACAACAGGTTGTTTTGCGAAGCGGGACTGTTCTCCTACGCTTGTCGCGAAGATACAAGCGGTGGTGTTGTTGATGGTATTGCAGATGATCCAGAAGTTTTTATCGGAGGCGACAGCTCTTGCTGTTCGGCTCAGTGGCTGCTGCTTGCGAACACCATGAATGCGCTATCATCTACTCTCGCTCTTTTCTTCTTTTTGGGTGGCTTGGTGTTTGACTCGCTAGGCGGCCAGTGGACAAGCATCGTTGGCTGCCTCATCAACGCAGCAGGATTTTTCGTGCTGTCTCTATTGTTGTTCGCTCTTGAAGAATACGATGATGATGTGATTACAATCACTCCTTGGATGGAAACGACCATCTTTTGCTTCGCTATCATCTTGGTAGATGCCGGGTCCATCATCACAAACGTTTCCTTTTTTGGCTTTCTGTGGCATTTGCCCCGTCACCAGGGGCTGATTCTGTCGTTGTCGAATTGTTGCGTCAATGTGGCTGCTGTCGTTCCCTTGGTCCTGCGGTTCATCTTGCAGCGCTACGATAACTGGTTGTCGCTTCCGTCCACCATGTTCTTTTACACGGCCACGATCGTTGGTATCGCCACCCCGGCTTGTTGGGTCGCGGTCCCGTCGGTAGAAAACTACAGAAAACGGGCAATGGAAGTACTTGGGGTGCCGATTCCCCGAAGGACAGTCAAGGGCTTTCGTGGGGCCATCGACAGCGTCAAGTCGGGTTTTCGGATCATTAAACACCATGCTCGCCTCCACCTTTTCACCCTGGCAACCTTTACGTTTGCATGGACCAGCTCATTCATATACATCACTATGACCGATCCACTGGGGCAAGAAGTTTTTGGAACGGGTGTCGGTGTCGTCGAYGATGACATGGTTGTGATGGGCAACAGCGATGAGAATGGAGAGCGTTTGGCCGTATTGTTTAACCAATGCAGCGCACTGGTGGGACTTTTCATGGGGCCGCTCGTTGGGGTAATGTTGGATCAATACAGTCGTCCCACTGAGGGCATCACGGATTTGGCAGTTGTCATCACTATCTCGATGGCAATAATTGGTGTCTTCTGTCCCGTGGCAAACTGGACCATACAGACAATCGTTGTTACGTCCGGGGCTTTCGGTCAGATCGCCACCTTGCTCTTTATTATGCGTTATTCCGTTATTTTTGCTCTTCCTAACCGGGTTGGAGCCGTGAGTGGGATTCTTTTGGCGTTATTGGGAGGATTTTCTATGCCATTCTTTATACTCCTGAGTATTTACATTGGTGTGACTGACCACTACGTTGGACCAACCATCACACTGAGTCTAATTGGAGCCGCCGTTTGGGTGGCATACATAGTCTTTCTCAAGAGAGCTAAACCATGGCCGAGTTTCCCCGTCCTTCTCCCCGAGGACGAACGTAACATATCTAAGATGTTTTCCGTGGGAACGATAGAGGATGCAGCATTCGTGGCAGGAAAGTCTCTTCCGGAATTTCGCAGGCTTTTGGCGTCGTCCAAAGCTGTGGATCAACGCGCGTTGCTCGATGCAGCTTTCGCGCCCGAGACCGGAGACCGGATTATGGAGGTTGCTCGGCGGCGGAGTTCGGTTGAAGTTTCGAAACGCAATAGCATTGGTAGCCAAAATTCTGCATCGTCTGCGTACCCTCGGGCTGTCGATGGATTGTGTAAATCCGATGATGCCAATGAGTACACAGATGCTCTAGCATCGCGGTATTCGATCCCTCTTCACCTTGCCAGCGGAAATGTACGAGGTGAGGAATACACAATTCRACGTGGATCAGCTTCTACTGCATTGGAAACCATCGAAATTTCCTTCAACGGTCACGGTGGTTTTGGAGGAAGGAACGAGCCGTCGATTGCGTCGCTGATGGACAGCATGGGCCCCCCTGACGACCCCCGGAGGATTTCTGTAATGCATTCGATGTTTGCTCCAGCCTTTCACTGCGCGGAGGCCTATGGGAATCTTCTCGAGGTACGCGTTGGAGATTTCACGGTTGCTAGTTGTGCTTGTTTTCATCCGGATGGACTCGAGAATGGATCTATCTTCCAGGTCGGAAGCGACCGTTACTATTATAGTCTCACGATGTCGGGAGCAACTCCAAATATAAACCGTGAAACGATGGGTCCCGAAGCGCTACAACGCTTTGTGTCGTTTAAGCAGGACAGTCGTTGGGATGAGCTACGGAATGATTACGGACCAGTTTTTTATGTCGCGGTGTTGGGAGTTCACCCGAGTTATCAGGGAAGAGGGTACGGAAAGAAGCTACTGAATATCGTCGCCCATTGGGCTGATCGCGAGGGCATGGATTGCTATCTGGAGTGTTCGGAAGCGAATGTGGCAATCTACGAAAGGTGTGGGTATGAGAACATTTGGAAGGTGGATGTTGAAGTTGACGGGAGCAATGATACACTTACCAACTTTGGAATGGTAAGGAGATGCAAGAACAAAGAATAGCGGGATACTTCATAGATACTATTGATGATGAGAAGTGATGGGCGCTGTTATACCACTAGTAGTAACAGCAGTAAATACAGTATTCTTCACTAGGTAGGATAAATTTACTGTTTATTTGCTTCTTACATGACTTCACAAGTCCGTCCAGTCGTCGTGCCATTGCTCGTACTCGTGCTCGTACTACCTGTTCTTACTGCTATTGCTGTGTTACCATGAGAACCTTTCCAGGTTTCAATTTCAATTCGATCATCGGTCACAATTTTTTGCTACTCGTAACTACCGTAGTACAAGTTCGTACTGTATTTCGTTCGGAATATGTCTGGGTTTTTCCGTGAAGTAGAACTTGTATTAGTCGAATGAGTCAATCACCAATGAAAGCGCGCGATATCTTTACTTCGCAAATTTTGTCTTCCACGTGGGAGACGTCAACTAAATCAACAAGGTTGAACTTGTAAATTCGATTTTTTTTTGAGTTCGGGTTCCTCTGTAAAACGGTACGAGTTTCAATGCCATTCCCGAACAGTTCACGTTCGTCTGACCAACTTGCCTTTTCTTCCTCCTCCGACGACCGAAACGACCGAAAGAAAAGAACCACCGTTTGACCACATTGTTCATCTGAAGGCAAAAGAATCAATAAATTTATGAAAATGTTGTACCGGGTTGCACTCTTGGCGTTGGTTTCGACCGCTACTTTGTCGCATGGCTTCATGCCGCGACACTCTGTTAGCCGCGGAGGAGCTCTTCCTATGTCCACCGAGACCGAAGAAAAGGTCAAGGACAAGAAGGTCGAAGGAAAGAAGGCAGGAAAGGATGCCCCTCCGGTCAACATTGGTTGGGATTCGCACACTGCTGTCGTAAGTTGACATTAAAGATTGAGAGTCTGTGAAATATATTTCAATGCATTATTTATTATGTCTGCTCAAATCTCACGGAAATTATAATTCACCCTAAATTATCACCGTTGTTTCGATATCGACCGTGTACATCCTCAACGTAATCGCAGGAAAAAGTTCCAGACAGTCTCGTCCGAGAGGGAGATGGTCCCGAAGGAAACTTCCCAATGAGATCGAAGTTCGAAAAGATGTGCCGTGATGCCCAAATCGAAATTACCAAGGCCATCGAAGAAATTGACGGCGAAGCAAAATTCCAAGAGGATGCCTGGACACGAGCCAACGGTGGAGGCGGTATGTCCCGTGTTATGTCCGGCGGAAAGGTCTTTGAGAAGGCTGGAGTCAACCTTAGTGTGGTCTACGGAAGTATGCCACAGGAGGCTCTCCAAGCCGCCACCGAGCGCGGAGTCGATCGTGCCAAGGGCATGGCACCCGGTGAACGTGTCCCGTTCTTCGCTTGCGGTCTGAGCAGTGTTATGCACCCTAAAAACCCCCACTGCCCTACCATGCACTTCAACTACCGATACTTTGAGACCGACGGTGGAGTTTGGTGGTTCGGAGGAGGTACCGATATCAGTAAGTACAAATTTTTGAACGAAGAACGAAAGGAATGCCAATTGAAACTTGCTTTTAAAAAAATAGCTAACGATACAAATCCTGCAACACGTTTTTACCGTGAAATTCCCATCCAATGATAGCCCCCAGTTATGTCAACGAAGACGATATGAAGCACTTCCACGGAACATACAAGGAGATCTGCGACAAGCACGACCCCGGATACTACAAGGAGTTCAAAGATTGGGCCGATCGTTACTTTGTCATCCAGCACAGAAACGAGACTCGCGGATTAGGGGGAATTTTCTTTGACGACCAAAACAACAAGGAGCCCGAACAACACTTCGAGTTCTCCAAGGAATGCTTGAACTCTGTTGTCAAGGCCTACGGACCTATTATCGAAAAGCACAAGAACGACGAATTCACACAGCAGGAGAAGGAATGGCAACTCATGCGACGTGGACGATACGTCGAATTCAACTTGGTATACGACCGAGGAACCGTCTTCGGCCTCAAGACCGGTGGGCGAATTGAGAGTATCCTCATGAGTCTTCCAGAAACCGCTCGATGGGAATACAATGTCATCCCCGAAGAAGGTAGCAAGGAAGCCGATTTCATCGACGCCTGCAAGAACCCAAGGGAATGGGTATAAATTGAGTAAATTTAAAGCTACCACACATAGATCACATTTTTTCTTTATCTTTCTTTCTCTGTCTGGACAAGCTTCCTCATATTTTGAGTTCTCTCGACATCTCTGTATTATAATTAGACGGACGTCGGATGAAAATCACACCTTCTTGAAAATTCCCACTTGGGGGTGTTTCCGATTGAGTGCCACAAATCATCGGAACAAAAGACTACTTTTTTCGGTGCTCTTCGCGAGGGACGAACCAAACGCATTAGGAATTGAAATGGCGGATGCCCTTGTTAGAGATAGCGGAAATGAAAGGTTTAAAATATTAGTTGTTGCATCAGTCATTCAGTACAGAGTGCCCCTGGGTAATTACCCTATTGAAAATGCCTCGTGTCTGATACAAAGCAAGACGAGTACTGACTGAAGACTCTTTGGCTGTGTGGAGTGCAAACGTATTTTGCCGGAAGCACTTATTTTAGGTTTCGATGCCTATCGAACCCGCTTTGCGCCGAGCCCGCCCGTTGCGTTTCTACTCTCTGTCCTTGAGGAAGGCCTCGCCCGCGGGCGTTTGCGGAGCGCTCAGTTCCGGGTTTTCGCTGTGGCCCTTCGGGAGGGGAAAGCCGTCCACCGCTTCGCTGAACCGAACCACCAGGTTTTCCGGGGCCACGTCCGCCTCCGGGTGGCTCGTCATGGCTTTCATGACGGCCGCCGCGACCTCCTTACGGACTTTGGCGTTGCGGCAGGTTTTGGGCAACCAGGTGATGTGAACGAAGGGCATGTTTTCTGTTTTGGGTGTGTGGATGGGTGTGTGGGGTCGAGCGAATGACAAGGTTTCTTGAAATAGAAGGAGATTTATGTTGCGGTACCAGGTACGATTACTGATTGATCGCATACTTCGAAGGAAGTGTGGTGCGAATTTGGTGCCTTTTGCTTTTGGTCTGATCATCGTGATGACATGATAGATACAGATACCAGGTACTGCTTCTATTACGTACGAAGTACGTCTGTAAATATTGTACGGTACTTCGTACCTGACATCTTTGCGTTTCCAACAGTGCTGAACGTACGTACATACGTACGTACGCACGTACAGGTGAAAACTTCTTCGGGATCGGAACGCGAAAAGGTTGTGTCTGTTCTTGTTGTTCGTTTTCACAAAACGGCCTCGCTTCCCAGAACCAATCGGAGCACCGGGAGAGTGCCATCGGATCGCTGCCCCGGTCACCTGCGCATCTTGCCGCTTCGAAGCCCCGCGTTCGCTGGGCCTCCACGGACCGGTTCCCCCGTTCGCCCACCGGCAGAGGGCGCGGACGACGGCCCCCCCCGACGCCCCCGCCCGCTGCCCTTGGCGCAACGCCATGTTCCACGCGGGAAGAATCGCGGGGCGGTCCCGGATCAGCCCCACGGTGGTGAAGCTGGACATCACGGTGACCACACCGCCGCTCGCGTCCTTCCTCCCGGGCCAGTGGGTCGACCTGGTGGCGGAGGGGCAGCCCTGGGTGGGGGGCTTTTCCATTGCCAGCAGCCCGAGGGACCTCCCGACCCTCACGCTCGCCGTCAAGCGGTCGGGGGACCCCCCGGCCGCCTGGGTGCACGACGCGGACCGGTCGGCGGTGGGCAGCCCCGTCCGGGTCCGGGTCGGCGGGGGGTCCGTCCTCACGGGCCCCGGCCCCCTCCGGCCGTCGGTATTTTGCGCCGGCGGCATCGGGATCGCCCCGGTCCTCTCCCAGTACCGCGAGTTCCTCTTTCTCCGGGGTGCGGCGGCCGAGGGAAGCCCCGCAGCCCCCGCGATGCTCCTGTACACGGCATCCCGTGCGGAGGAGCTGGTCTTTGGCGGGGAGCTCGCCGACCTGTCCCGGGAAGGGTGCACCGCCGGCGGCGGGAGCGACCGGGTGGTCTTTGCCCTCACGCGGGAGCCCACCGGATGGGGAAGCGAACGCAACGGCGACAGCGACAGCGACAGAACCTTTCCCCCGCACGTGGAACTCCGGACGGGACGGGTCCTCAAGGAATTCCTGGACGAGGGTCCCGCCGATGCCGATTACTACCTCTGTGGACCTCCGTCGATGATCGACGAGGCCGTGGCACACCTCAGGGGCGTTCGATCCATTCCCCACGAGCAGATCAAGTACGAAAAATGGTGGTGAACCGGAGCAGTGCGTCAACGAATCGTGCCAGGGGACACAATGCAACCCATAAAACTAGTAAAGAATGGAGCATGGACGACGAGAAGATTCAAAGAGAGTCTAGTTTTATTGTATTAGATAACGTTCGATATGATCCCGTGCATACAACATCCTAAGCCCCGCCACTCGATTGGTTCCGGTTCCGTCGGCTAGACGTCCACACGGCGGGTGTCCCGGTAGGACCGCGAGCTGGTGCTGTGGCTCATCTCCAGTCCCGGGTGACCCCCCTGCTGGTACGGGGCAGACGGGTGTCGGCTGTGGTCGACACCATTGGCGTTTCTCCGGTCCCTCCACTCCTCCGTGGCGCGCTCCGAGGACAGGACTTGCCCGGTGCGCTCGTTGTTCCCGGCGCAGGCAAAGGACCCCACCAGGGTCTTGGCGTGCGCCGCTAGGTTGCTTCCCATGGACGCGACGGATTCCGTGGCGCGCTTGAATTCCGGTCGGCTGGTGGTGGATCGAAAGGACGACGACCTCAGCGTCGACGACTCGCCCTCGTTCGTGTCGACGCTCTGGCTGAATTTCTGAGACATCATGCTTCGCGCGTCCTCCATGAGTGACAAATCCTTGCCTTCCTTGACGTTGTTGTATTTTCGTTTGAAAGTTTCTGCTTGTTCTTTTGCCTCCGTGAGTTTTTCCTCCCACTCCTGAAGAAGACAACGGTTCGAATTGGGTGTGAGTAAAAAGTGGATACCAAAGGCAAATCCACAACAACAACAACAACAGCAGCAGCAGCAACCACAACTCTCAAACAAACCAAACCAAACCAAACCAAACCAAAACCATAACAAAACAACAACACGCACCGCTCGCGCCAGCAGGTAGTCTCCCTTGAGCTTGCCGAGGTTGTGTTCCAGCCGGTCCTCGTTCTTGGACCGGATCTTCTGGTTTTCCTGGAGGGCCTCCCAGAAGCGCCTGGCCACGTCCTGGAGGGGCGTGTTCTCGTAGACGGGGGCGTTGATCACGTCCTTCATCTCCTCCACCAGCGAGTTGAGCTGCTCCTCCGAGGACTGCTGCGTGTTCCCCATCGAGGGCTTCGAGAGCACCACGTCGGCGCGCTTGGAGGGGTCCGAGAGCGGGTAGTTCTTCGGAATCTTCCCGGCCCGCAGGCCGGATCGGAGGACGTCGTCCATGGCGTACCGCAGGATCGCGCAGCCGCGGTCGGGGGTCATGGACTCGGCCCGCGCAATGGAGAGCTGGAGGCGCCCGCGGTGGTCCGAATCGACGGGAAGCAGGGCCGAGGCGGCCTGGCAGGCCCGCTCGTAGAGCTCGAAACACTGGGCGTGCTTCTGTTCTTCCTTGAAGGTTACCCCGTTTCGGATGGCCTCGTTGAGGCAGTCCTTGACGTCCTGGTCGATGAACTCGTCGTGCCTTACCGGTCCGCTCGACGAGGGCGAGGCCAGGTCGTTGGCACCGTCGTTGTCGTCGGCCATTCCGTGGTCGACGTCTCCACTGGCCACCCGGCGCTTGAGCTCCCGTATCTCTTCCTCGCGCCGCGAGCTCTCAAAGGCCGCTCCTTCCATGTGCGCCGCCTCGACGACGTGCTGGAAGAGTTTCTGGACGTCCGCAAAGGCATCGATGATGGCTTCGCCCATAGCATCGTATCCAGAGTCATAGTGTTCMATGAGTCGCTCGGCAATCGCCAGCAACCCGTCCTCGTGGCCCGACAGGGCGTCCACCAGGAGCTCCGGGCTGACCACGGCCTCGCCCTGGGCGGCCTGGCCCTCTTCCTGTGGCGGCGGCTGGACCGCCGGTGCCGGCTTGTCCTCGCCCGTGCTGGATCGGCGGCCCCTCGAGAGCGACCGGGCACGAGACCGGACCGAGTGGGCGGGACTCTTTCGCCGGCTGCGGTTTCCCTCGCTCTGCTGCGGGGACGGCGACGAGTATTGTTGTTGCTGCGACTTCGACTGCGGCTGTTGCTGCTGCATCTTGGTCGGGCTGATGCTGTTGCTGCCGGTGCTGCGATACGACGTGTTGAGGTTGCTGTTGGATTCCTTTTCGACGCTGGCCATGGCCCGTTCTCTTATGGAGAGGCTCTGGCGATACGACGGTCCGCTTTTTCCCGATCCGGTTGAAATCCGACCCACCGAGTTGCTCCGGTACGAACGCGCGGCGCTGCTCGGCGTGGAAGCGCTTTGGTTGTAGTTGTTGCTGTTGTTGTTGCTGCTGCCGTGGTGGTGGCCGGAATAATAGCCCGGGCTGCCTCCGCTGCTGCTGTTCGTGCCCTGGCGGGTGTTCGCCTCTCTCCCGCGGGGGCTGCTGCTGGAATAGGTCGGTCCCGGCGAGGGCTGTCGCTTGTGGCCGTACGGATAGGTCCTGCCCGGGGAACGGGACTGCGAGTGCGAATTGGAATGCGAATTCGAGTGCGGGGATGCGTAGGGCTGGGCCCTCGTTCGGTCCAGAGAGAGGGAGCGCCTGCGGGCGTCGTCTTCGACCCGCTTGGTGTATTCTCTGGCGCGGCTCAGGACGGAGGAACGCGAGTCGGGGGTGGACCGATAGGCGCTACCCTTGGGAGACGGGGAACGATAGTGCGTGTGCGGCGGGCTGTGGAGCGATGCCATTGTGGGAGGCGGAGTTGGAGTGCGAAGTGGTGCTACAAGATTCGTCGAAAGCCTCCGGAGGGGAACGGTAACAGGTAGGGTACGAGTACTAACGTCCAGCGGAGCCAGCAGCAATGCGCTTCTTCGAGACCAAGCCACCCACTATCAAAAACAACCCTCGCATCCCACTATGGAGAGCAGGCAGAACCCACACTATGGCATTCCCGGCCCGATTTTTGTCCTCGCGAGCACGCAGGCCGTCCCACGATTTGAGGCAACGGCTCGCGCTGGAGCCTACATCAGGCTTTTTTTTATGCGTCTATTTTTCAGAAGAACTTCACAGCCGAGCCATGCTGTCACGGTGTTTTAAAAGAACTAATTTAGTTCAACCGCGGTGCAGGTCTCGGACGTACCGTACGTACAGAGGGTACATCATAAGGTACGAACGTACGGTACGTATTACGGTATGACTCGCAAGAGGCAAGAGCGAACTCTCGAGCATTGAGGAAAGAACTTGTGCTATTTCTATTGTAGTACCGTAGTATTTCTCGAATGCTTTGCTATACTTCAAATTGACCCTGACACACAATGCGACTACGAACGTTCCATTCTTGTTGTTTGAAAGTTGGAAGGTGTGCCAACAGAGTTTTCGTGGTAATCTTTGTCCCGATCGGATGGCAGGGTCGATCGTTTCGATCGCACCGTATTGGTCTGCTACTACTATTAGGAACGTCACGTCCTTCATGGCATCACGACTCTCAGTACTTGGTTTCTGTGAGAGTCTAGGATACGATTGGCTAGAAGAGCTAGATCCTGGGGGGTTTTCCATGAAGACGCTGATCATTTCTTGGGAGGCAAAAGCTGCAGTTTATTGTTAACGTGATGAATGTTGTCACTCTTTCCCGGCCTCACTCACCAAAGCAAGAACTTGGGAGGCAAAAATCGTTTCATTTGAATACTTTTGTCCATTCATCGCTTTGCTATTGATGAAAAAAATTAGCAAGCATTCTGTTGCTTGGCCTACCGGCACTTCCCGTTCGCGCAGAGGTGCTCGAGCAATACCTTCCCGGATTTGGGGTTTCTCGTCTTGGCGGAGCGGTCCGTCAAAAAGAGCCGCGAGGAGTTGCTTCCGAGGCTGGCCGGGACCCGGGCCTTGGTGAGCTGGTCGGCCCTGTCCTTCCACTCGGGGCTCGCCCACTTTGGAAAGAACCGGAGGCCCGTGACGGTCTCCAGGTCCTTCCACGGCACGACGTAGTCCTCGAGCTTTTTCGAGGGAGAGGCCTCCTCGTTTCCAATCACAAAGCAGGCAAACCGGAGGATGGGGCTCCCGGTGGAGGCCGCCGGCGCGTCCCGTTCCACCACCACCACGACCTTCCAGAAGTGGGTGGGCACCGACACCAGCGCGGGCGGCCGGCCAAGCGCCAGGTGCCGGTACTCGAACCGGCCCTCCCCCACCTGCTTTCTGGGGAGCCACAGGGGCCCCGTCACGACGTAGACGTCCGCACCGGGGGGGACCTCCTCCGAGTGGACGAGTCGGCGGACCCATTCCTCCAGGCTGTTCCATATCCCCTTGTTCATGACGGGGTCCTGGGGCGCGATGTTGCACAGCGTGTACGTATCGGCGGTCGTCTCGCCCGGAAAGTCCGCCCCGGGGGCCATGTGGCCCCGGTCGAAGCCCGACTTGTGGTAGTGGGAGAGCCTCGAGCGAAAGTCGCCGCCCTCGACGTTCTTGTCCTCGTAGAAGTTGGGCCGGCGCTTCCGGCCCCCGCCGCTTCCCCGCTCCGGGAGCGTCGCCTTGGTCAGCTTCTCCATGACGTACAGGGGGGTCCGCGTCCGGACGTCAAAGGCGATTTCCAGGTGCGGGTTGGGCCGGACCGTTCGGATCGGAAGGACGGGGGAGGCGTCCGAGCATCCCATGGCCACGGGCGCGTTGTGGTTGGGGCCTGCCGAGGGGATGCCCTCGCACGAGCTCGTTTCGGAACGGTTGGAAGCACCGCGGCTCGACAGCCACGACGATGCGTGCGCCGCCGCCGCACCCGCCGCGACCGAGAGGGCCCTCCGGTGGTGGCCGTGAAACATGGTCGTTTTTTTTTGTGGGGTGGTGTGTGGTGTTTGGTACGTTCTGTTGCGACGTCCGAGCGCTTGTTGGTTTGCCCGGCTGGTTCGTTGTGTTTTGGTTGTTGGGGTCGCTACGAACAACGAAAGAGAGGTGCTGCAATCCTTTTTATGGGCGGCGGCGGCGGCGGCGTTCTGCGGGTCCCTCGTGCGTTAGAGGATGGTTGGCAGCACCATGAATCGACTTCTGTTGCCGAGAAAAGTGAGCCACAAAAATGTGTTGAAAAACAATGAAAGAGCCATCACGAGAAACGAAACGGGCCGGAGGACAGAGTACAGTACTCGTACGTACTGATGAACGTACATTTCGTCCGTTCGTACCGTACTAATGTTACTTGATCGTAATTCCAAAAAGTGTGGTAAGCAATGACGATTTTTGGGGATTCTTAACCACTTTACCGTACAGTTCTACTCATCCGGGTACGTACCGATCCCCAAAGAAAGAAGATCCCAACCAAATCAAATGCGCACGACTTAACAAACAAACCGTGATCAACGGAAAACACGATCGTTTGCTTCCGTTCTCCGAAGTATTTTTCAAATCCGCTCTGGGACGGCATTTTATTGACATCACTGTATTTCAGAGAAGACTAGAGCCGAATGCGAATGCCCATCAACCACCTCCGATTTCATTGCATGGCATCAAATTCACCATGTCTACCAACGAAGATTCTCCGAGCGCGAAACGGCGCAAAGCGCTGAAGGATGCCGATTCCGCCAACCAGCTGCGAGTCCTAGAATCATGTCCCCTGTCCAAATACGCCGATATCGCCGAGCGACTCTTGGGACACTTCCAGAATGCGGTGGACGGGAGGAGGCTGGACGAGGCCTACGTCTTTGGTTTGCGGTTTGCCAATCTTTGCATTTCTGGTTTGCCACAGCATCCGGAATGGAGACGCGAAATCGGCAGCAAAACAAGGAAACGCTTGACCTCCCAGGTCGGTGACGTTTTGAGCATGATGGACGTTATCAAGCAACGAATGGATGCGGAAGAGCTCATGAAGATCAAGGCAGAGATGATGGCGAGAAAGGCAGAAGAATTACGGAAGAAGGAAGAGGAGGACCGCCGGAATCACGAGTTTGAAGAAGCACAGCGCCGAAAGCAGCAAAAACGCGACGCTCTGGAAAAAGAACGGGCGGAATTTCTTGCCGAGCAACGAGCTCAGAGACAGAAACAAATCGAAGAACGAAAAGAAATAGAGAAGAGAAATGCCGCAATCAACAAAAAGAAGGAGATCGAGCAGAGCGCAATGGCAAAACTCAAGGCAATGCAGGCCCGGGTGCCATTGGCGGAGACGAAAGAGGAACAATCAGTCGCAGTGAGCGAAACTAATGTGGAAAAGCCTTCAAATACCAAAGCCAAACCAAATAGACTGAAAAACTGGTTTGGTGGTGGAAAGGACAAATCAAGCAAAAAGAAAAATGAAGAGAAATCCAAATTGTCGGCCCCATCCGGCGCCAAAGATAGCGATGAGATGGTTTCAACGAAACCAACAGTGACCGACAGAAATGTGGCCACGGCCGAGGACCGATCTGCTGTCACCACGCAGGAATATCCTCCTACCGAAGCTATCCAACTGCAACAACCTGAACAAGAAACATCTTCGAGTTCGACAGCACACGTGACCGGTAGGAAGAAGGGAGCGAAACCAGTTGAGTCTGTAACAGGCGGTCCAACAATATCTAGAAGATCAAACAAGAGCCAATCAGTGGATTCTTCCACCATATTGAATCCCTTGCGTTCAATGAGCAAAATAAAACCGAGGAAAAATACGGATTCCAAAAATACGAAGAACAAAAATGACAATGAACAGGAAGAGTCATCGGCTAACTCCAATGAAGTGTGTAGCAAAAAGCATGTACATCATTCAAGTGAAGAAAAACCGATCGGATCGACTTTGCCCTCCTCGTCGTCACCAGAATGTAATGAAGGAGTAACGACCACAAGTGATGTTAGTAGCACAGCTGTTACTATGATCCCTTCACACCTAACACCTCTGAGTCGAAAGGAACAGGCAACCATTCACAAACTCCAACGAGCCATCACCGTTCAGGAAGACAGATTGGAGGAAATTGAAGGGAAACAAATTCCACAGCTTCTCGAAAGAGCCAAGGTATTGCTTAAGGAAAAGAACAAACAGGAAGCATTGAAATGCCTGGTTCACAAAAAGAGACTGGAGCGCCAAGTGGATGCAATCAAAGCCGCAGTCTTCAACATGGAAACCCAAATGTTTATGCTAGAATCGGCATTTGAAGATCGTCACGTAAAGAAGGCGCTCGACGAAGCAGCTAGTGCCATTGCTGGATACCAACAAATCATTGGCGATCCAAAGGCAGCCATGGTAGATCTGACCAACATGAGCGAGTCGCTGCCAGAGCTCGACGTTGGAGAATCTACCGACGAGGAGCTGATGGAGGAGCTGACGGAATGGCTTACGCCCGAGGAGAAAAAGAGAGCAAAGGCCAATGAGAATACTTATGCTGACAAAGAGGACCTTTTGCTGTTGTCCATGCCAGAGTTTCTACCGGCAGCACCAGCTGATGCGCCGGAGCCTCTGTCGGCTGGTCGAGCCCCCAATGCCGTGGTAGAAACTAACAACTGATCCTAAGGACTAGAATAGTAGATTTCCTCTATCTTGAGAGCGATTGTAACAACGGCGCAGCAGAGAAGGATATACGATATGCATTGTAATTTTGTTTATCTCGTTGGACGCTGTCTTCTGATCAGCGACGACACGCATATCCGTATGACCAATGGGATGACGAACTTTGGACTCTGCACTTGAAACGATATTTAGCAACAGAAACGGATGTTTTGAATTGACAATTTTGCCTTTCAAGGCATGGGCAATCCTGGAAGTTGCCCTACTCTACCATGCTTTTGATATCCCTTATACTACTACTCTTACTAACAAGTTCAGAAAATCCCAAAAGCAAGTCATCAGCTCCTCCTACTATTTTGCAAGTTTTATTATTCTTGTTCTTCGTCACTTCGTCTTCACTAGAATGTATCTTCCCCATCTTGGGTCAATTACCTTGGTTGGTTTGTCCAAAACGGTGCCTATCAGTTTCGCTCCCATTCCGGTGTCCTACCGTACCATGCTACTGATCTTATTAATTCGAAACATCTACCGTAGTACGAATACTCCACTATTAGTACTAGTAGTACTAGTTCAATTTGCTTGGGACACGTATGGTAAGGATTTGTCATCGGTACGTACCATAGTATTTTGGAAGACACCATTCCACGACAACGAACAGCTGGCTCCAAGTTTTTTCTGCATTTTCGCAAGTATCATTCGGCGTGATTCTCTGATGCCGACGAAGGAAGGACGGCGGCTAGGGAAGTCCTTGAGATTGGCGTTGATTCTGTATTTCATTTGTGACGTCACCCGTGATTCATTCTTTTTTCTTTCTGTTTCTTTCGGACCCCAACAACCAATCACATTTCGGAGCCGTTTTGTTCGTGTCAAACACGTAAATTACTCAAGTTCTTTGCGGAACAACAACGCCCGAGTTCTTTCTCTGGGCTGGCTGGAAACTGTCGTGATCGACACCTCACCTGTGATCCACACTTTTGAACATGCCAGGCGGTGTGTATTGAAGCTGCATTTTTTTGTTGAAACCCTGACAGCTAAGAATGTTTGGGCGAGGAACGAAAACCCCAAAACCGATTCATTCATTTTCTGCCGGTACTTAGGCATTCGTTCGGGTTGCGAGAACCCTTTTCGTCACAAATCAACAGTCACCAACAAGAAACCAGCATCAATTCGCAACATTGGAGTACCAAAGCCAACACAATATAACACCAAACACAGATAGACAAACTAGAAGACAGCCAAGAGTGCCGAAGAACACATCAAAATACAGATCAATGATGAGACAGACGATAAAAACGAAGAGCGCACGCGCTGACAACCAGCATGACAAGCAACAATCACCGAGGAGGCGAACTCTTCGGAGGTGCCGCATATCGGACTTGCCCCTGGCGTTTCTGCTGGTTGGTTTCGTTACCATCGGATGCTGTACCGCCTTTCATGTCGCGAACCCGTATTGTAACAAAGCACTGAGCAAGCTTCACGTAATGTCGTCGTCATCGCCCCCGTCGCCATCACCGTCCTCGTCCTCGTCGGAACCTTCGATGAGCGGCTACGATCGACAAGAATTCGAAATGCAAGTGGGAAGAGCGATGGACACCCTCAGAGACGATTATCCCGAAATTCTAGTGAAAGATCCAGGTAAGTCAATCGAATACGTTGCAGTCAATCGTTCTCCGCGTGATGGGTAATCAACCGATGATCACACTCTCATGCTTTCCTTTCTTGATGATTTGACTACCGATAGATTACTCCATCTACAGTTCGGACATGGAATTGATCGATCCCAGTGGGTTTCATGTTCACGGCGTTAAGAACTATGGGAATTCCATTCGACTCGTTCACACACTGATCGGCCTGTTCTACTGTCCCGACCAGTCCGACGTGAAGTTTCGCATGTGTTTTGATAAGGCACGACAAAACATCCGAATCCATTGGAACGCCAACGTCGTTCCCAAGGCCATTTTCGGTGGCGAAAAAACCACCCTGCACGTTGACGGGATTTCCATTTATGAGTTTGATCGCATGACGGGCAACATCACCCAGCACCGGTTGGAACGCCTGGTCATGAACGACAACCAGGTTACCACCGAGCAGGGCGTATTCGCAGCCTTGCGCAAGCAAGCCGTTGTATCCAACGCCGACGGCATTCCTTCGTTTAGCCGCCACATGGAGTCGATGACCAAAATCGGGGGAGAGAAACTCCAGAATAGCATCGAATCCGTTAAGGTTCCCGACAACGTCCTTCAGTTCCGACGCAGTATCATTTTTTTCAATCGACGCGGTTCGGTTTTGTTTGGAGACAACAACGACGAAGGCTTGCAAACGAGGTCATTCGTCACGGCCTCCTCGTCCCGTTCGAGTCTCACGTCGATGTCGTCCTCGGCCGCCGGAGAGGCGGAGGGACCGGACGCGTCTATGGCCGATGCCCTCGAGAAGAAAAACGCGACCCGCAAAAAGTTTGGTCTCAAGTCTCTCACCATGGAAGAATTTTTAGAGATCGAGCAGCAGATCAAGGAAATGGACCTCCAGCAGCAAAAGAAGGCGGCCGCCGCCGCGGTGGAGGCCATGGAGCTGGAGCGCGCCAAGGAGCAGGAGAAAAACAGGGGGGGGTTCATCGGAAAGCTCTTTGGGGAGGTCATGAAGGACACGTGCGAATCGAACTACGACTGCGAGCGCCCCGAGGTGTGCTGCGATTTCGGATTCAAGAAGATGTGTTGCTCGAGCGGCATGCGCATCGTGGACGGCATGAACAACCGGCAAGGGCAGCTCGCGGAGGTACCGGTACCGATCCGCAACCCCAATCCGTGGCCCGGCGACGATCCGCGCAACAAGCGGGGCTCGTGGTAGATAGATCTGTGCGACAATCTGCGACGATTCCGCTTTTACCGTTTCGCTGTTGCTACCGTTTCCAAGGAAAAGAATTCGATTCTCGTGCCCGACAGTGACAAGAATGCGCACCCGTCCATCGTTCGATACACGAACCTCGAGAGCGGGAGCACGCACCGCAGCCTTGAAGAAAACCTATCGAGCTGTCGGGAATTTTCATGGGTGATTTCTTTTTGCGATCCAACTCTACATCTCGAAATGCGACTTGTTTCTGCTAAACCTCAGACGCAAAAGAAATCAAGGGCGACACCCCTCCTTACATTGGACGCAGTGGCTTTCGATCCGACCAAGTCCGAGTGATACAACTACGTACTCGCTGCCAACGACCCCTACAAGGGGTCTCGGCGACCCAATACACGCAACGCAATACTAGATAACTTATGTGCAAATAGCTACCAATACTATTAGAGGAACTGTCTGGAACATTCGGGTAGTTGTAGGGTATTGCGGTAGTAGTTTTAGAACCAATATATTTTTGTTCTGTACTTTCCAATACAAAACACATGACCTTCGCTGACCCTAACCACAAAATAATTACTGTACTGTTGAAGTACGAAGTACTAGTAGTACTTTACTCGTACCCGTAGATGTTGGTTTCCACGTCTCGAATGATTCAATTCCATCGATCGCAGACCGAGAGTAACTGTAACCTTAACCCCAACTTAGCATTCCGCGAGGAGACGGCACCGATCCGAACCAGCAGATGATCGCAGTTTCTGCTACACGTGTACGGAACCGGACCTGGCATCCGGGGGTGTCGTGTTCGTTTCACCGCATTCTCCGTCCCCTTCCGGCTTCAAGAAGCTTCCCGGGGGGCTTCGATCGAAACCAAAACAGCTCAATGCACGGGAGAGTTTCTCATTGACAAACCGGGACGCCTCGGTGGAACACCCCGTGCCACAGCTGCAACCCGAAATCCATCGTTCCGTTTTGGAAGAACCCCATCGGAAGCACACGACAATCCGCGTTTTTGAGAAAGCCGGTTCGCAATGCCGACGACGACGACGACGACAACGACAACGACCATGCACTCTTCGATGGGCGGTTCCGAGAGCTCCCCGGCGGCGTCCGGGTCCGCTCCTCTGTCGCCGTGTTTGCAGGCCGAGGAATGCCATGGCAGATTTGGCACGACGCCCACCCGATCGCCCAAGAGGAGCCGAGGCAGGGAACACCAAAGGCGCACGATGCCTTTTCACCAGCTCTCGTGCCCGCGGGGAATTCTTTTGGTGGTGGCGGCGATCGATGCCCTCTGCTTGTTCTCGGCGCTGTTGTCCACCGATGCCTTTCGCATGGTGCGGCATTCCCGCGAGTGCGGATTCCCCGCGAGGCCATCCGCGTCGGCCACGCCGCACGACGAGAGGAAGAACCCCTTCTACAGCCTGTGCCACGAGACGGCGTTGTTTGCCTCGCCGAACAGCGAGGCCAACCAGCAGCAAGCCACTGCTGCTCCGATGAAGGACCCGTTCGAAGCCACCGGCCAGGACAACGACCTGTTCAAGACGCTGGCGGGCGGGCCCGCCCTGATTTTCGAAATGGCGCGCAAGTCCGTGCTCTTTGCCACCAAGGAACCCGACGCCAGGGACCCCCCGGCGAGGAACGCCACAACCGAGACAAGAACGGCGACGCCTGCCGGCCAGCAGTCCCAGAGCTCTCCCCAGGGCCGGTGGTACCCCCACTCGGGGATCGCCGGCGACAACCCCAACTTTCGGACGCAGGCTCCGGCGATGACGAACCAGGGCTTTGCCCGGAGCATCTGGAAGAACGCCCGCAAGCGCAACAAGCCGAGTTTGTGGAAGCACGCGCTGAGGACCTACGACCGGATGGCCCTCCTGGAGGCCGACCCGGGCTTTGCGCAGATCGAGCGGGCGAACGTCCACCACGAGGGCGCGATGCAGGCCTGTGCGAAGCTCGGCCTGTGGCAGCGGGCCCTGGAGATCTACCACTTTGTGCACTCGGAGGAGACGGGGGAGGGAAGGCAGCAGCAACCACAACAACAACAACAACAACAACCACAACCGCGGAGGACCACCGGCGGGGGCCGGAACGAGCGGACCGGGGTCTACGTGACGGACGACATGGTGCTGTCGCTGGTGCGGGCCACGGTGCGAGCCTCGCGGCTCCGCTCCCGCCGGAAGCGGGCGACGGGCGACCCTCCTCCCACGCCCGAGGAGGAGGAGCGAGAGGCGGCCCTGCGGAAGATCCCTCTCGACTCGGCCCTCGAGATCCTCTCGCGGCTGAAAGAGGACCACGGCCTGCCGCTGGCGGCCTACTACGTGAACCCGCTCGCCGCGGCCTACCAGAGCCTGGGCTACACGGCCCACAGCAAGGAGATCCTGGAAACCATGCTGTCGAACCGGACGGCCGGGGAGGACGACCTCCCCAACGTCCACGACCTCTGCGCCAAGGACAAGGGGAGCTACAGCCTCCTGGTCCAGGCCTCGGTGGTGAGGGGGGACTGGGGGGCGGCGGTGGACTCGCTGGCGGAAATGACGGGCGCCGGCCTCTACCCCAACCCGCGGCACTGCAACATGTGGAGCGAGATCTCGGAGCGGCAGACGAGGCCGAGGGCCGTCGGCAGCTGGAAGAAGAAGCGGGACGACTTTTGGACCGACAGCATCCGGTGACGGCTCGAACGATGGTACAGCTAGCACAAGAACACAAACAATGCATTTGTTTGCTCTTAGAATCATAGAAAAAAGAATTGTAACTTCTGTCCCGAGCGGAAACTGTATTGTAGTATTTATTTAGACCTGCTTTGGGTGTGTGGCTTTCTATGGTATGGTTGTTTGGATGGAACGCGCGATGCCGGTTTTTGCAGAGAGAACTTCGTCTGGGCCTGCGAGGTTTGTCGCCGGCAACAAGAACCTTCTGCAATGCCATGGGTTGTCCCTGAAGAACATCGAGCGACTTGTTTGTTCGACCTTCGTCGACAACGATGCGCGGAGTGATTCTCGGCCTCCGTGTTTCCGTATCGTTCCCGCTCGAAAAGAAAAAACCATCTCCATCCACCACTGCTTGAAACCGCATCGACTCGTATTGTTTCGAGTCCGCCACGCACCGCGATTGGTCTTGCGTTGCATTGCATTCGTCTCGCCTCGTATTCGCCTCGTTCGTCTCGTTTCGTTTCGTTTCAGTACCTCAGCTTGTGGTGGTCCACCGAGTTCATCCGGAGCATCCATCGCGGGGAGGAATGCTGCGCCACCGGGACCTGCCGGTTCCTCGTGGTGGCAACGGTGCCGTGCCGCTCGAGGATCCGGAGGCAGGAGATCAAAATGGCCGTGGTGACCACCCGCGCCCGCGCCCTCGAGTCCAGCGACAGGAGCGGCATGGGATGTTGCTCGCAACGCACGGCGGGACTCTGCGTCTGCGCTGCGCTGCGTTGGTTCCGCGCCGTGCCGTGCCGTACAAAAGGTTGGCGCTCGGTCTTCCTCCCTCTCTGTTTCTTTCTAGGGCCTGCCGACGATTTCGCTCCGGTCCATTCCGATCCACCGGTCGGTCGACAGGGATCTGGTTTGCCACGCTTCGCTCCACCCAAGCACCCAGCTTGTGTCACAGAGCAAATCGAAATTGGATTCTTCGAGAGCAGGTTTCTATCCAAACAAGTTTCGGGCTCGGGCTGTTTTGACGGACGTCAAAGAAGCGTCATTGCAGACAAGGGGTGGCTTCGATTGTGTACGATACGCCACGAAATGCATCGGCGATGGAAGTTCCCGATCCAGGATTGCATCCAGATTCTCATTTCAGAGAATTCATTCGAATTCCCAATCAAAACTCCAAAACTGAACCAACCAGCAGATGAAAGATCGAAAACACGCAGAGAACAATTCTGCTTCTGCCCGGTGGAGCAGCTGTCATGTCGACACGGATGGGCGCGACGACCCATGGTTACCCTTTCATCAAATCATTCAGCCGTTATATAAACGTTAAATATTATTTCTTGGATTTTTGACTGGTGAACTAATTGGATTCGAGAACTGAGGCATAGTAGAACGAATGGTTGTCTCCCTGCGCGTGTCCGGTGCGTGCCGGTATCGAGCATGCGAGTTCGGACCGTCGAAGTATGAGAGCTCGCACGAGTAAGATACTGGAATCAGGGTCTAACAAAAAAATGATTACAATGACCCCGTAGTATAGTACAGTACTGTAAAGAAGACTATCCTACGGAACGTAGGTCTATCTGGTACCGTATTAGGAGTCAAATTTCAAATCTCGAAATGGGGAATCCAGAAAAATAACTCTGGATCCGTGTTTTCTATCGAATCGACCTTGTCACGCCCCTGACACCACTGCCCCATCCTTGTCGTACGTACTCGTACCCGCAATCGGACTAGACAGACAGAGACGCCCCACCACGACCACCACACCAACCAGCCTTAAAACGAAACGAAACACTGCGGGCGATCGGATCCATCGGTTGCGGATCCACCGGAGGAACCTTGGCTCGCACGAAAGACACACACGCACGCACGCAAAAAGGGAACCGACGGGCATCGATCGGGTTGCGCAACGAGGGAAGAATGGTCGGCACCGGACGCCGTCCCGGCCGCTTGCGGCGTTGGCTCCCGCTCCTCCTGCTGGCCTCCCCGGATCGGGGACCCTTCGGGCCCCCCCGTGCCGGTCGGGGCGCGAATCGCCGTTTCCTGGTCGATTCCTTCGCCCTTGTGAGCCCACCGGCGGTCCCGCCGAGCCACCCCGAGGGGCTCGGAGCGAAAGGGCGGAACCGCCGGGGGCGGCCGCTCTCTGGCGGACCCCGAGCCGGGGAAGAAGCGGGCGGGCCCGCCGGGGACGGGACCCCGAGCGCTGCACCGGCATCGACCGGAACGGAAGACACCGAAACGGAAACGGATCCCTCGGCCACGCCCACCAACAAGCCGGCGGGGGGCTATCGACGAATCGAAGAATGGCACGAGGAGACCCGCGATCCGGATCACGTAATTCGGCATCTCAAACGAGAGAAAGCAAGGTGGGCAAAAACCTTTGGCAATCTTTCGTAGAAGGTCGGGGGAAGGGGGGGGATTTGCCATAGCATCGGGTTTTATCGACGCAACACACGAGTGACGTTTCGAAATGCGCCGCGAGCAATAAATCTGTGCGTACGGCCACAATGGCAGAGGACCTCCATCTTTTTTGTGTCAACAAAATATGTGAAACTAGCAGTATCATAAGTATTGCAATAGCAAGATACTACAGAATGTCCATCGAGGCAGCACCACCAGCAGTTTTAGTCGATTAGAAGAAGATGAGTCCGATAAACACACGCCAGAATGATAAATTCACACCTCCAACAATCCTAAAATCTGCCCAAGTAGACCTCTTCTAAGTTCAACAGTAGTGAATAGGATCATTGCCAGCAGTATCTTCGTTGAATACTTCCAAAAGTTGATGTTTGGTCGGTCGCCGTACAGACGGCCCGACAACTAACCGGTTTCACGTGAAGTTTTCGCGGAATATTCAAAACACCTACTGTAGATATCGTTCTTCTACCATACTTTTTGCGAAACAAACGATCATCCATCACTTATCAATACCGTTACTTTTAATCGACACTAGTGGTCATCGATAGCGGTGGACCGGCTCTTGCACGACAGAAACACACAAACAAAGGGCGTTCAATCTAATTTGTGGAATAATCTATTCTGGTTGCTGGGTGTTCAGTTAGATACTGCGCGTGACATTCTCCACAGCTATGGCGTCGATTTCTCGACGAAAAAATAGCTTGGTTCTCGGCGGAGTAGGGTTGGTAGCGGCATCGATAGCAACTGTTTGGGCACTCCAAAAATGGCGCCAGTCGCGAAGAGGAAATGACAAACGAAGCAGCACGTCAACAATATTGACGGCACACGAACAACTCATCGAGGGAGGGACGCCATTGATTGAGTTGAAGCGTGTGACAAAATTAATTGGGAGGTCCGTCTTTGTAAAAATGGAATCGATGAACCCAGGGGGTACAGGCAAAGACAGGGCAGCTCTGAACATGATTCGCATGGCAGAGAATGAAGGAGCATTGCCCCCTCCCGATGCGGTTCCAACCAACAGCACGGACTATGACAGCTCTCTTTTTCTGCGCCCATCGGTCCCGTCAGGTTCCTCTCATGGCAACGGAACCAGCGCAACGGCAGAACATACCCACGACACAGCAGACGTACCGACTTCGGCTGCAGAGAACGGACTGGAAACCATGATTCTCCAAGCCCTCGAACGGTCTCGCACCGGCGGTCTCGTCGTCGAGGGCACCTCCGGATCGACCGGTATAGCCTTGGCCACGCTGTGCGCAGCTCGAGGACACGCATGCCTGGTAGTCTTGCCAGACGACCAGGCCGTCGAAAAACAACGAATACTGAGGTCGCTGGGTGCCGTTGTATACGAGGTTCCGACCGCATCTATTTCGAACCCAAAGCATTACGTGAACCTGGGTCGAAAGGCGGCAAAGCTGGCTCGGGACAAGTTTGGGATATCCGCTGTCTTCGTAGACCAGTTCGAAAACTTGTCGAACTTTGACATTCACTACCAACAAACGGGGCGGGAATTGTTGCGGCAACTATACGATCAAAATCGTAGCTTGGATGCGTTTGTCATGTCGAGTGGCACGGGGGGGACCATTGCGGGAATAGCCACGTATTTGAAAGAACAGCGTATCCACAACAACAATGACGGCGAGGTTCGAGTTGTGTTGGTCGATCCACCCGGGAGTGCGTTGTACCACAAAGTAGAGCACGGCGTTGCCTTTGCTGTCGAACAAAGGGAGCGATACCTTCGAAAACACCGATACGACACGCTCGCGGAAGGAATAGGATTGGATCGGATCACGAGAAATTTTTCTTCGGGCCTTTCTTGCATCGACCGTTCCATTCGCGTGACTGATCAAGAGGCGGTCGACATGGCTCATTGGATACTCCGCACGGAGGGATTGTGGATCGGTTCATCGTCGGCGATGAATTTGGTGGGTGCAATGAAGACCGCACTTTCGTTGCCTGAGGATTCGTCCGTTGTAACTATGATTTGTGATGGAGGACAACGACACGCCACAAGATTTTGGAATCCAAAATTTATCAAAGAGTGGGGTTTGGAATGGCCAAGCCCGGATTGTTTACCAGATTGCTTCAAAAATAATTTATGATAGAATTTACAGGATTCTCGTAATAGTAGTATAGTTTCTTCAGGTATCCAACCGTCTAACGTTGCTAGTTAGCTATGAAAGAGTCGAAACTTGTTGGTCCAGTATACTTCACTTCCTTTCACATTGAGTTTACATCATCACGATTTCGACGTAAAAGTCATAAACAGATTCTGAGCAATCACGTTACGCCCATTAAAATGATAACGAGTTCTTTCATTGTACGCAGCCACACCACAACACTGAGACAATCTCGAAATAAATGGAAATAGAGAACACCTATCCAGTTCATGAGCTTAGAAAAAGGCATCTTCGTACTCTTCTCCGTACTCGTCGTATTCGTCGTATTGGTTCGAATCTCCAAAAAGTTCGTTTTGAATGGCCTGTGCCTTGGCCTTCTCGATTTTTTCTTGTTTCTTAGATTTTTGTGCTTGACCCTTGACCTTACGTTTTGATGCTTGGACCTTTTCGTTTTTGATGACGTTGCACGTTTTGATAATGTCTGAGATGGCAGCATCATCAAGTAGGTCCTTACTCTGTTGGATGACTTCTTTGATGAAGATGCTTGTCAAATGGATCTTTCCGTGGCCCTATTGAGATTATTATTTTGCATTGGTTAGATATACGAAAAGAATTTTATTTCCAGTTGCATGACAGACATGCGGAAGCAATGACGAATCAAGACAGAAAAAAACAGACTCTGAGCAGCGAAGATGAAGAATAATTCCAATTTTGAAAGTGGCTTCGTTCCCGCAAGGCATACATACAGCATCAAAATTTGCTCAATCAAAGCGATTGCCTTGCTTTTCGTCGCGAATCTGGTTTAAAATAGGTCTACTAGACCAGCATTTAGAAAGACACATGGCTTACCTTCATGCAATCCGCAACCTTTCGTGCGTGCTTCATGTGGTCCTTCATGTCTTTCATTACCACCTTATCGCCAGCCTGTTGCACTCCCTTTCGACCAACACCGCCATCACCAATACCCCCGCCGAATGCATCTCCCATCATGTCTAATTCGGACTCTTCTTCTCTCTTTCTTTGCATCAATTTGCGTTCGTCGAGTGTCATATTGGCTTCCATCTCGGCCTCCAGTTCGAGAGCCTTTCGAGCAATCTCCAAATCATCCTGGCGATCTTTTTCGGCTTGTTTCTTTGCTGCAAGAGCAGATCCCTTCTTTTTCAGGTTAATTTTGTCAAGTCTATCTTGCTCGGCCTTTTCCTTCAGGGCCAAATCCTCCTCATCGTCAAAATTGTTGACCGGCGCTGGTGCCGACTTGTTCAAGCCTAGTTTGGCGTCGAGGGCGTCGTCATCGACATCCCAGTCGTCATCACTGTCATCGTCCCAGTTGTCGGCCATTGTAAATTTCTTCAGTGAACGGTTCAGGTGATAGAATTGAAAAAGAAGTGCTGCAAAGAAGTGCTTCCTTGTTGTAATCAGACAAATGCAAAAATAGTCGAACTCTTTCTCGTACCGGTATGGTGTGGAAACATGCGGTGCCCCAAGTACCGGTGCAAAGTTGTCGTTGAGAATGAAAATTAACGTGTTGGATCACAGACTACCGCACGGCACAATACTCGTACAGACATACAGACAACGGACTTTGGAATACGGTACCACGTTACAGCAAGACGCAACGACTGCTACGAGTAGTAACGTACACTTCTGTACAATGTACGTTACAATACCATAAGCTACGCGAAGTACAATACAAAATATCAACATGGATACGTACGTACCGTACGATACTCGTACCGTGCAACTACAGAATAGTAGTACTGTACTAGAAGCACTAACTTCTCATCACAATATGCGCGCTTCTTGGCGCGCATTTCACGACTTCCAGTTTCGGAGTTGTCGCGTCCGAGTATGAACCTACCGGTACATACTTCTAATAAATAATGTTCCTTTGTACCGGTACTCGTAGTACGAGAACTCATATTGTAGTACAGTATTCTACTTCGAAGTACTTAACTCAGCAAGGAAAGAAGGCTATCTGTATCTATTCGAAAATTGTTGGATTCCGTGCAAAGCCTATCAACATCATCATCAACGGCATCTACAATATCTCACCGGTTCGCAATCTATATACCAGGTTTCAGACGACTCGCTATTTTATATCCGTGGAAGAATTGAAGAAGAATAGCGCTGGATCGCAAAGGAATGATGAAATCGCGATCGTGCTTCGAGGCTATTGGTTTGCTATTTAGTCGCCTCCGCGTCAAAAATAAGGGCAAGGACCATGAGAAAATTGGAAATGGGAGAGTAAGGTGCGATTTTTCGGGCAATAGAAGTTGTGGCAACGCAACCTGTGACTTGGTCAGCGATACGGAGGATGTTTTCGCTCGCAGACCAGGACACGACAACGATGAAAGCACCTTCTATTACTTCAATCACGCTAGCCAAGCTCCTCTCTCCCCCGAGGTCCAGAGGATAGGAATTGAGCAGATACAGGCCTCCCCGTGGCACGATCCTAACCCCAATGAAATGGCACACACAAGCCAAGCACGGATTCGAGAGTTGTTTACCAAGCTTATCGACGGCGGATGCTGTGACGACATTGATGAACCAATCGAGAATGGAGAAGTTTTGAAGGCAACCACCGACGGTAGCCGAATCGCTATCCTTCCGAGTACCGCCTTTGCCATTACTCTTGCAGCTAGGAACATCATTGAAGGTCAACGACGACAGCAAAGGAAGTATGGGAATGGGGATAGCTACAATCCAGTGTCTGGACGAATACTCGTTCTGCAAGACCAATTCGATTCGGCCATATATCCCTGGCAACAGATGTGTGACGAATCGAAGGGGAAACTGAGACTCGATATTGTGGAACACCCAGACGAGAACGCATGCCCTAGCGTCACATCTAATGGTGTTCGTAGCAACAACGGCCAGGGTGTCATCGATGGAATCGGTGCCCCAAATGGCGGTTGGACCCAGGCAGTGCTGCAGAAACTCAAAAGCGATGATGATCACAGCATAATAGCAGCTTGTCTTCCGCCCCTGCATTGGTCCGACGGTACCCTCATAGACCTAGAAGCCATTGGTGCTGTTTGTCGGCATCGCAACATTCCACTGGTCGTGGATGCAACACAAGGTCCGTGCGTTCGTAGATGCAGGTGCTTGAAAATTATTATTTGTTCGTCCACAAGTTAGAAGGGAATCAATGCGGTATTCTAGGTTGTTCGTTGATTTGTCGCTAACCTTTATCTTTTTCCGCTGCATTATGCTCAATAATAATGCAATTGATGCAATGGGAAACAGCTGTTGGGATCATGGCGTGCAGCGTCCGAAAGATTCGCCCCGTGATGCTAGCGTGCAGCACCCACAAATGGCTCAGGGGACCCTCGGGCTGTTGCTTGGCGTATATCTCACCGGAGGTAAGAGGATCGACCATCGATTCACATGGCGAAAATTTTTATTCTTTGATCTTATAGTTCCTCTTACATGGATCCATTTTTGCAGGTACAAGACGACTGGATTCCGTTGGATTTTCATGGCAGAGGGAGAGACTTCGAGGCTGGGGCCGACTCGTGGGATGTCTCGAAAAACGAAATGGGACCAAAAGGTTACCCCGAGCGATATTACGCAGATTCACGCAAGTTCGATTCTGGAGGAAAGGCAAATCCCTTTCTCCTTCCGATGCTCCGAACAGCCATGGAAGAGGTTTGCAAAATTGATACGGGGAAGGCCCAAATACGATTGAAAACTCTAATGCAACCTCTTTTCGACTGGGCAGTCAGGAATGGGCACTCCATCAAGCTTGATCCACGCGCATACCATCTGATAGGGATCGTCCTTAAAGATAAGACTCCGGAAGAAATGATTGAGATTTCAAAGAGACTCGCGGAGGAAAAGAAAATAATTCTTGCAGTTCGATGTGGCGGTTTTCGTGTCTCCTCCTATCTCACCAACACGGAAGACGATGTGAGGAAACTAATAGAAGGTCTTCAGGATACTGTATCATGATTTTTGGTCGTATCGTAGCGTCGAATCGAAAGGTTGTACTGCAGTGACGTTCTTAGTTTTGGCGGGGTGATGAGTCGACGCTCATTTATAAATTGCAAGTAATGGTACTCTAAGCTGAATCAAGGTATACCGCGTAGTACAGATCGAAACAATTTAGTTGTCATCGAAAATTAAATTCTATCAATATCACAAACACCAGCAAAGAACACGCATTGGGTGCCTTGTTATACAAAGTCTATCATGGATGAAATAATGATGATCTGAGCCATTTCCTTATGATCAAGTCGTCTTGAATCTGTGATAGATTCGTCCCGCTTACCCCTTTCTCGCCTAAATGCTACAATTTGCTCTAAGGACGCTTCATGATACATTTCACCATTTGATTTTCCTCTGAAAAAGTCAATGGAAGAAAAATGTGCTATAATTTATAAATCTCCAAATGTGTCCAAGTCAGGCACAACAACTGAACTGCTGCTACGGAATCACATTAATCACTTGGTGGTGTTTTGGATGACGAGACAGCATCACTGTCAATCACAATCGTTACAGGACCATCGTTTACCAATTCTACATGAGTTTCATGGAAAAGTCGGTTTGCCAATTTGAAACGCACATGGTTTGTTTAGATTAAGCATCGAAATTTAGAGCCGCTTCGCACCTCGCAAAAGTAACACTATGAAGTCTACTTACCAACATCCATCATAGCGCCAAACACTCCATCCTGAATTTTCTCTGGTTCGTAGCTCGATTTCAGCTTTCCAAGAAAGTCTTCGTACATTGCTTTAGCAGGAATTGCCTTCATAGATGCTTTGTAGTCGGGTTGATTCTTTTTTGTTAACTTGCCGTATAGAGTAAATTGAGAGACACACAACAATTCAAGGTTGCGTTGTTTGACACCATGCCGCCATAAGGCCCCTGCATCATTTTCCCAAAGTTTACAACCGAGCAGTTTTTTCGCGCAGTATTCTAAATCCTCGTCTGTGTCATTCTCGTGTATGCCTACCAGAGCCCTATTTAAAAGGTTTTCGTCCATGAGATTGCATAGCGGTGCAGTAGCCGTGACGCATGAGACATCCGTGGGAGAAGTGAGATCCAACGCAAAATGGAAAACACAACGTCATTGCGTTGGTGTTGTCCTCGGGAAAAATAGAATTAATACGACTAAAACTTACATAGCGCCAGGTCCAATGGAAGAAACGATGGATCCATTGACTGTGACACTTGCAGACTTCACCTTTTGGACAACTATTCTCATGGCTAAAGTTGTAAGATTGAAAGTATTTATGAGCACGAACAAAAAGCTCCGAAAGTATCCGATCCGGACCATTTATCTTCTTCTGATCCTTGTACCTGTTGTCAAATGAGATCAACAGAAATCACTCTGGCATACGAGGGACATGTATGGAAGGAATGTCGAAACCCTCTGTGTCACTTCCGACTTCATTCCGATTGCCGATTTCCTTGATTCGACGTCTATCTGCACCTTCATCGCAAAACTACGTTACCGTACAGTACACCAGTTGTACCGTAGTGTTGCTCGTTTTCTGAATTTCCTTTGGGAATGAGATTTGGGTTATCGGCTATTTTTTGATGTTTACCTCGTACTTTTCCTTTTCAATGCGTGATTAATGCGTGACTCACAAATCCTGGAGTGAATGAATACCATTAAAATCAAGATGAAACAAAAACTGGTTTTCTGGTTCAGACGGTTAGGTTCCATCGCACCACGCTAGAACGTTAATTCTGTATTTGGGGTTGTCCATCTACGAAGTAGGAGTACCAGGTACTGTATTAAAGTACTGCACCGTTCGTATATTGCTTCAGTATTGTATTTTTCAATTCTACTACCAAAAACTTAATTATTATCACTGGGCCCTCTACTCTAAATCTCTGTATATTTTGAATTATGCATTGCCTTATCTGTATCTTGCCGTTAATATCATCACGCCAGCAGTGCCGCGCCGGCAGATTATCGGCCTCATACAATTAACAGAACTGTTTTTATTATTTTTTGTGATCCAGTCAATTGATGTGGGTTTGTTCACCGAAAATGATTTTCTATGCTTATTTTGAGATTCTTCGTTCAGTTATTTTTTATCTCCCATATCCTTTTTCGTTTCATAAAATACCTCATAACGACTAGCCTGAACTTCTCAAGATAAAACTCTTAGCCGTTTTCTCAAAGTCTTTACCAATCGGTATACAACGACAGGTAACTAGGATGGAAAATTTCGCTCACGATATGTCATGCGTTGTGCGTCGCTTGTTCCCGGACGACGAAAGATTGGATCCAAGCAACAAAAGGAAGCGCTCCTCTACATTCTGTGGTTTGAGTCCATCTCCATTGAGGGAATATCGAAAAAACGCAAACAATAGCACAAGAGACGTAAGGCCTACAGATTCTGAAAGGGGCAACATCTACAAAAGATGTGGTTATATTTCTCCGATATCAATTCAAAACAATATATTTTCGAAACATGAGATGGGTAGTCAACTATGCGACGCTACTTTCGTTCAGTCTAAAAATTTTTCAACGACCCCAGCGGAAGAGTTTCTCGATAAGGTTGTACATCTTTTGAATGATCGGTATCCCCCTGACACAGATCATTTGGTTATTCAAGAAGCAGAAATTAACGACAGCGACCGCATGTCATCAGAGAAGTAAACCTTTATACCTTTGGAGTCCCTCCCGCTGAATCACATCAACACAATACGCATTATGATGGTACCACCCGTACGGAAGGAAACTATGTTTGAAATGCAAAGATTAATTTACGGAGAAAAGTTGGACATACAAGAACAAAACAGTGAACCTAGATTCTGGCACTCGGTTCTACAAAGCTACGACATGTTCAAGAAGATGTACATCGTAGAAAATCGCGTCACTAAGAGATTTGATATGTTGTTCGGGTTCACCTATTGTCTCTCGAAAGATTGTCGTTGGTTGGGACATAATGAAAGTTGTAGGGAAAGGGAAAAGATTATAACGGGGTTAGATTTGCGATGGAAACACGTATTGAGATATTCTTCTAAGGAGCTTGGAATCGACGATGAGTTTTCGCTTCCTGCAGTCTTACACCTAGTCGAAGCTTTCAAAAGCACAGTCAAGAGCGGCCAAAGAAATGGCGGCCCAATGCTTTGATTTGATTCTCAGCAGCTCTCACAATTTCCTTGAATTATAAAAGGGGATTGGAATATGGAACAAGTGTGATAAAAAAGAGTGAAATTTTTGTCCCAATTATACTTTCCTAGTAGTAGTAGCACAAGTACTAGTAGTACTAGTGCTGCACATATTATGTACTAGTAGTACTAAGAAGAGTGGACAAACAAACAACCCTGCTCCTTCTTATGGACATGACACTTCTTGTTGGAATAATTAAGAGAATCAGTTACCATTACTACTAATACTACTAGTAGGAGGCAGAGCTAAGAATAATATGTCTGAAAGTATCTACTAGTAGCACTGGTAGGAAAAGATTTCTTTCCACCACCTTCAATAATAGAAGGCACCAATTGCTGACTACCAGTACTAGTAGGCCAGTAATCTTCACTTGTCTGGCTTACCATGAGCAACGCTTATTATCCTGAAGGATAGTAGTAGTGCTACTATTTTTAAGAAGCATTGGAATTGGAATACAAGAAGAAATACAACCTCATCCCCACAATTAACTTTGTTAACTTATTAGCTATTAATAGCACTTTCTTGTACTAGTAGTAGTACTACAACTAGTACTAGTAATACTAAGAATAGGCATACTATAATAATTTTCTTTGTAGATGATGAAAAGGAGGAGAAGATTGTGAGGAAAAAATTGCTGTATCATTGTCATTTCATTACTTCTGTAGATTTTGCTGTTGGTTTCACACATGTCAAGCTTTGCATTTGTGAGGATGCAGGCACGGGATGGTGGTAATATTATTGCACTTACATTGCTTCCTGCCTTTAGTATCCAACAAAAAATGACACTTCACAATGTATTAGAGTTTGGGATCAACAAGTAGGCATATATGGAACATGCATGTAGGTTTGTCCTTGCATTGCTCAGCAGGGTTCAAAGTTTATGATAGAACTTCACCATAGTAGTAGTATGCGTTTTTTTGCCCATTGCCACAGGTGTTTAATTCAAGAGTCTATTAACATGGGAAATAATATATTGACAATGGTACCTCTTTTCAACAAGAATGACCAATACAGAATTACAGCCTCAAAAATGTGTCACTCTTAGCTATCATGTGCAAGTAGCAGCATGTCAAAATGACTGTTAGAACCCAATTGGTGGTATTACTACTAGTATCATATTCATATAAAAAAATAGGCCTGTTTGAAGGCTTATTCCTTTGTTGCTACTGGTACAATATTTAATAGGCATAACACATTCAAATAGTATTACTAAATAATATCAAAATAATAAAAAAAGAAGCAGTCAAATTTCCCAAATATTGAGCTTAAGCAATCCAACTAAAGAGGTGCAAAGTGCACCAGTCTCAACATCCTCAAATGAAACCTCCCAAAGGATGACTCCTCTTCATTGTTGGAGATAATCATGAATGATAGTACTTCTAGCAGTACTAGTAGTACTCCTCCTATACTACTACAGAGCTGATCTCTTCTCCTCTTGGGTGGACTTGTGTCTTGTATTTGTTCAAAGAATTACACAACACTCCTGATACAAGAAGATTGATACTGAGTGGAATTGTTGTTCCACTCTTCTGCATGGTCATTGTTGTGTGCTTTTTCATCACCATCAAAAGACATGTGTGTACCAGAAGGAAGGATTTTGTTGGGACTCGTGAGAAATGAGGGTCTTGGAGAAGATGTTCCAATTCATGCTGCTCCAGATCAGATGAATCAGAGAGGTCATGGTCAAGGAGGAGTTCTTCAATTTTGTTGTCAAACGGAGCATTGTTGTAGTAGTAAGGGGCATCATCAGAAAGACTTATTCCAAGAGAACTGCTGTTAATACTACGGACTTACTATCTACTAGTGGTAGTAGTATCACCACTGAAAACACTGCTGTCATCTTGGGAGGCGCTCCTACTGTGAGGGTGCAGGCCGCCACCACTGTTATCAGATAGGATGTCTGCATCACTAGTAGTATGACCATAGTATGAACAATTGTCAACCATCACCACCAGAAAAAGAATCATCATCATCCATCATGGTGATATTGCAGACATGATTATTTCATGTTGGTAAATATTCATGATGACTTGGGTGATGGTTTATATTCTGGTTTGGATTGTTTTATATTTTCTTGCTTGGATATCAGCACAAGGAGAGAAATGAATGAGCAGAAAAGGTGTTTTATACAAAGTAATTCTTGTTTAAAACTCTTTTTGGTATTTCTGTCTTATTTTGTGTAGGATTTGTACTGCAGTCTACACAGGTGAAAATCATGGAAACTCCAAAAAAAATCCAAAAATGCACGATTTGGGTGGAGACGGGAAAAAGTTAAAGCCGAAACGGCTGTAAATGGCCTCACCAAGGCAGCCGCAGGGGTCATAATTTAGAGGGGTGTGCAACGCGCACGATTTTCAGCATCAGCATAAAAAAATTCCATTCCATCCGTGGTACCAATAAGAAAAATTTCCCATAAACTTTTTTTTTCATTTTATTTTTACTGCATAATACTAGTAAAACTATTCAACTTGTGAGTACTAGTCATAACTTTATCAAAAATACCACTATAATAATTTTAAACTATTGCACCTATACCACCTTTTTGTGAGGATTCTGAATTTACCATTTTCTTTGATAGTATCAAATGCATTGTTGTGCTATCATTTTATTGTTCATAAAAGACCATTTTACTACTACGACTAGCTGTAGAACCACTACTGGTGATTTAGAAGGCAAAACGGATGAAGGACAGACAGTTCGAATTGTTGCTAGGGACTGGACTGGTTTCACAAAATTGGATGAAGGGCAGACTATTTGTACTAGAATTACAGTACTAATGTGGTGGTAGTACTACCAGCCCTATATCAGTACATCAAACAACAAACAACAAACAACAAACAACAAACAACAAACAACAAACAGCAATAATATCCACCAAGAAACACTTACTACTTGACTCTCAACTGTATGAGAGATRTGCATATGAAGTTTGAAAATCAGAGAGTGATTGGAAGTGTTCCTGTGCATGAGGTCTTTCAGGTACACTTTATGCAGAGTTATGCATTAAAAATGTGATGAAAAAAAAATCTTTGTGGGAAATTTTTCTTATTGGTACCAAGGATGGAATATTGATTTCGACGCGTTGCGCACCCCTCCTAAATTATGACCCCTGGGCAGCCGTACGGTACGAAACTTCGCGACCGACAAGTGTGAAATGTATCAGGTCTGATTTTGAGAGTGTGAGACTAAATGCAGAGAGTGCCACAATCAAGTTTGGGCATTTTGATAAAAATCGAGGTGTTCTATTTAGTATCGGTATTTGAGCGCAGGGGTCATAATTTAGACCCCTGTTTGAGCGCTTTTTCAACATGCGTTTGTGTTAACCTACTTAACAATTGATACCAAAATAGTATCCACGGGTTACTTTGGTTCTTTTCGATTGTTCTGTAGCAGTTGATTGGTCTTTCGACATTTCATTCTTCATCTTTTCTCTGGGATGCTTAACTCTTTTCATCCCTATAATTAATTCATCCCTTCTACAGTAAGTAATATTTATTCTAACTTGATGATGATAAATTCTAAGAATAGCATCATAGTGGGAACGGAAGAAATGTCGCCACGAAAACTATGGTTGGAACAGTCGCGATGGTTCATCGCGAGGGCCGCTTATTATTTTTCGTTCGTTTACAGAAATTATTACTAATTGGCGTTCAGATTCATCATCCTCACAGTATTCGCATCACCTAATTTCCTATTCCAGTGTAGTTCAGCTCCCTGTTTCTTGATAATTGCGGATTTCCGCAGTCGGCGCCCTAATGCTGTAGGTACCAGTCGTTGTAAAAGTAAAACGAAATGGAGACTCGGGGGGCTCTTCGAAGAGCTGCGCAACAACAACAAGCGGCGGAAGAACTCACCCAAGATTGGCTGCAGCGCCAAGGTCCATACGCTGTAGCTGCGATGGCACAGATACAGCAAAATCGTATAGATATTCGCAACAGTGAAACTGGTCATAATGAATCAGAACCACGACTGGTTGCCAGAGCTACGGACTCTACCTTTGCAGGTCTTTCCCCGTTTCACGGTGCTAGCGATACCAACATACGTGAAGGCAATCAACACGCCAATCGTCAACGATCCAAATCGCTCCTTTTTTCCTTCGATGATAATCATTTGAAGAGGTCGGTGCACCCCAATTCACAAGCCTCGTTGTCTTCATCCATTGAGCCTGTGGTGAGGCAACGACGGATGACCCGTGCTCGAGCTCGTGAGTTGCAGGATCATGCAGTGGCCAATTTGTTCCAAACGGTCATCGAATTAGTCTTCGAAAGTCGATATTTAAATTGGTTCGAATTCATTCAACTAAGGGCGGTCAACCGAAGTTGCTTAGCCTTCTGGTATAGAAAAAGAGAGGTCGCAGGCCCATGGAAGGAAATTCTGAAGGAAATTAATTCATGGAATGGGACCAATAAATGCCATCGCTGCGAACAGGTCCTTTTGCTCCAAAGTCATCGAAGTCTCTGTGTCCATAAAATGTGTGATACCATTCATAGGAAAACGGAAGACAAGAACCTCGGCAATGGAGCGACAACCAACTCTACAAGTATTGATACCAACCACCAGAAAAAGATCGCCAAACAGCAAAACCGTGTTTGGGATCAAGAGTGTGCCAAACGAAAGCCCGACTTTGTATCCTGTATTGATATACTTATGTCGAATGGGGTATTAAGTTGGAGAGAACGGGGCGGGATCCGTCGAATATGCAAAGCAACCTACAAGGTGTACAAAAGATATTGCACATGCAAGCATCCAGTGGACTGTTCTACATCTCTCCCTTTCGTAAACATTGATCCTCGATACCGAACAGGATATTACGACAGTTGGACCGATTACGAACGGTGCGAAGCCATGATACTGTATACAATTAGACTGAAGAATAATTTGCATGCCTTTTACAACTTCGGCAAAGTTACCAATCCAGATAGCTTGCCTTATGGTCTAGCTCGGTGGGATTGGTTCGACATACAAATGGTGACTTTACAGAGCAATTGTCCGAAACGGTACGCGTTAATTATGCACATAGCATCGCTCTTTATCGCTCAAGCAGAGCTGCGACGGCGTCCTCCGGTCTGGTACGCCGATGCATTTGTTGGAAAGCAGCATCATCCCTATACAACTTCCTATGTTGACAGCTTGGCAACAATCATTTCCGAGCACTGTCTTCCTGGTAAGAAATTTGTGTTCCGATGTTTGGTACCTTCAAACTTGTCGGTTCAAATAAATCTCCGAGTGTATTGTTTCTCAAACGGTTGCTCTTCTATGACGTGTGTCCTGCCTCTTTTGTTCGATCCAATTTTGTTTCAATACTCTTTGACCCCAACAGCAACGGATGAAGTTATCTGTCATTTTTTGAGAACTCGGTGTTATCCATCGTCTGACTCTCAAAATTTGCTCGGCCCTTTGTCCAAACAGTTATCTATTTTTTCGCCATTTTTCGACATGGTTCCGTTGGATAAGAATCAGCCGACTAGTTTGCCAAAATCGTTAGAAATTCTGAACGAGGAATTGATCGATTCGATGAGCATGAACATACTCTGCAGCATGATGTAGTCTTTCTTGGTGGTTCATTACTCTGCTGTCCGATAAATAACATCATCGTGTTTCTACTTAATGAAAAATTTGAGGCATGATCGTCCATTTGATAAATAAATATTCTATGCAGCTCTACTTGACGCAGCACCATTCGTGTGATCCAAGGAGCCGAGTGCCGGCCTGGTGCTTTTTACGTTATAATCTGACGATCGTCGCGGTGATGTCGTCTCTGTAGCCCGTCTGTTCTTTTGGAGTTATTCGCCGGATGATATCGTACAGGTGAAAGAGGGGCCGAAGAAGTTTCTCTTCCTCGCTCTCGTTGCCGGTGTCGCGGCTTGGGACCACAAAGGACGAAGCCGACAGGGTGGCCAGAAAGTGTTGCTGGCGCATGTCCCAGAAGCCATCGCTCGCGGCGAGGAGAAAGAGGCTTCGCTCCTGTGCCGGTGGCTCCGAGAGCTCGGAAAGGTCGATCACGTCGATGGTGGGTTCGGCGGTGACACCCGCGACCTTCCATTCCCAGTCGCCGAGGCTCCTCGACATTGCCAGACCGATGGTGTCTTTTGCGACATGGCTGTACACGATGACCCGCGGATCAAAGCCCTGTGCGTTGACGTGCACCTTCCCCCCTAGTTTCTCGATCCGTTCCCGCTCTCCCGGCTGGTTGGCCTTGTCCCTGCGGGTTTGGTATTCCACCTTCACATCGAGGGACGGAGTCTCCTTCTTCTTTGGTGCCTTCTTCTCGGCAGCCGATACAAGGATAGTGGTGCTGTCCCCGGCGTTCGCGACATAGAGTTTTGATCCCCAACGGAGCGCAACACTAGCGGTACAGCCGCCTAGATAAAACGTAGGTGACGTCCCTTTCTTGTTTACCTCTAGAAACGTTTCGTTCAGGGCCTTTCGTATGATAAAATCCGTTTTGTCGTACTCCTTGGCGTGTACCACGATGGCTTCGTTGTTGACGGTATTGGTGCTGTTGTTGCTATTGTCTCTGTAGCTATCGGTTGCAACGGCTCTCTTGAAGTCGTCAAACTCGCCGTTGCTGCTGCTGCTGCCGCCGCCGAGCCCTTTGGTCAGTTTCTCGGCCAAGAGGACGGGGAGCTTTTCCACTACTTCTTCCGCGACATCGTGGCCCAGTTCTCCGTGGCCGTCGAACAAGCCCACCAGAAAGGACTCGGGTGCCGGGAGTTCCGCTGCCGCGCCCGAAGGCTTCCGCGCCGACGAGACCAGCAGGTCCGACAGAAAAGACGGGACGTAGACCGCCCGATCCTGGTTGACGGTGTGGGATTCGCCCTTCTGGGAAAGCGTCGCGAACGACGCCGCGGCGAACCCGATGGAAGCCGCCTTTTCTCGATCCGGCAACAAGGATTTCGAACCGGGCGACCCCCCGAGACGCGACGATTCCAGGGCGTCCCGGATGGTCGCGTTCTGCAAGGGATTCGTCAGTTCCGGGGGATAGATCGGACAGCCGAACGATCGACACTCACCGACGCTTGGTTTTCTTGTGCTGTTATCGTTCTTCGCCGGGATGGGATCGCTCGTCGCCGACTCGGTTGGATCTGGCGGTTTTATTATTGGTGGCTCCGTTGCCTGTTCCGTCTGGTGGTGGAGGGGGTGCCGCTTGTTGCTGGGTCTGAGGGGAGGGCGCTGTTGCTTTTTCCGGTGTTTCTGTTGCTCGGTGCTCTCCCCGGGGGTTCGAAACCAACCACCACCCTTCGCCGCCGCGAATGCCGATGACGGGCGAGAAGCGGATTCGGGAACCGGAAAGAACCAAAAGAGAACCACGAAGTTCATCACAAACACTGCAAGGATTGCCAAGAAGAAGACCGCAAGGACCAACGAAAGCGACTTCATACTATTTTGCGGGACGGTATCTCTGTCTCTCTCTCTCTTCTTTTTCTTTGATCGTCCGACCCGCGTGCACCGGGCAGTGGATGGGACTGAGCCTTGCTGCGCTCTTCGGGAATGGTAGCGGGCCACGGTCGTCGCTACAATCGAGTCGGAAGCCAGGCGGCGTTGCGAAGTACAGTGCTGTATGAATGAATAACAACATTCCCAATTCAAAAACAAAACGAATTGCACGTTCAAGGATAGGTACGATACGGTTTGAGCTGTACGGTGTACGATACGTCGTACGAGGCAATCTTTTTCAGAGAAGATTTTGATGGAAGTTCTAAATTTTTGCGCGACGACCTACGGTACACGTAGTGATTCAATTGAAGCTAGTCTAGTTCCTATCCTCGTGGTTTCAACGGTCATTCATCAGCGCACCTTTCCCGCAAAGCGACATGATTTGTCCCGTTGAACATCCTGTAGAATTTCTGTACGCCATGTTTGTACTATGATACCAGTAGGACTTTCTTGGGTTGTTCACGCCGACCGACTCCTTTTTCTGGTCGAACTCAAAATATTGATATCCATAGCTGCATCAGCCGGGCAGCCCATGGACATCCCGATCACCCCGTGCGACATAATGAAAAGAGTTGCTTGAAAAGAAGAGGATTGTACTGGCGGAAACTGGACTAGTGAATAGCAGCGCCAACTACGGCAACAACGATACACAACAATGGTGGTCAGGATGAAGTCGCCGACGAAGTCACCGTCGGTATCGCCGGCAAAATCTCCGAGAATGTTGCCGACGAACTCGCCAACCAAATCACCGACAATATCACCGACCAAACGACATCGCGGCAACAGAAGGTACGATCCTTCCTTTGTGTTCTCGGCATTTCTAGTGCTGTATGGGGTCGTGTTTATTTTCTCGTCGTTGCGCATCGATCTCGGGCAACCGCAGCTCGAAGTCGATCGAGAGAAACAGCAATCCCGAGCACCGTCACAAACGGATATCCACAGAAACCACGCACTCTGGAAGAATGGAACAGCGTCCACGAGGGCGACAACGCCGCCCCAGGAAACGGGGATCGAAAAACACCAGAGCGGGAACGGTGGCCCCGAAGAGAACCGCGTTCGGGACATTATCGGCAAAAAAGACGATGCCGGGAATACCGGCACGAAACCGTTTCTGACCTATCGCCTGGAGCTCGACAAACCCTACAGCGTCACCTACGGACCACACACGCGTTGCTGGATCGGGGTCGAGACCAACAAGTGGGGCAGAAAACCCATTCATCGCACCGGGCTTTCCAAACCCTTGTCCGATATTCTGAACGTGACGGCCTACGTAAAAACCAATCTCAGGATCATTTCGGTGGGAGACTCGGTGGGGATCCAGTTCCACGAACTGCTGGAGGAAGCCCTGGAGCCCCCGGGCGTCACCGCGAACCGAACCGGTGTGGATCCGGTGCTCGGTGGTGGCTATCGCACCGTCTATCAGAACGCGTGGGGAGACCACGAATCGGTGAGCGTCTCGGCGCCCGTCCACGGGGGTGGTGCCCTGGCCGCCTTTCGCATGACGGGGCTCTTCCTGAAAGAGGGAGAGGGGGGAAAGCCGCCCAATGCGGGTCCCAATCAGACCTCTGCCGCCGGGGGGTGGAGGCGGGAACACCTCCGCCAGATCCTCGACCACAACTACACAGCGACGGCCGTGGGCGGAAGCCACCGCCGCGGCGAAAGCACGGGCGGCACCACCACGCAACGAACCGACTCCTTCGACGTCATGATCTACCGGATCCCCCATGGATGGCTGCCGGCATCGAGCATTACGCGAGCCCGCCTCGAGGCATCGATGCGGCTGGCACGGGAACTGCTGGGGGTGCGGACCGTCGTTGTTCCGAGTTTGTACCTCAACGTGAGTATTTTGCTACGGTCGTGTTCCCCGGCAAGCAAACGAGCCACGGTAATTCTTTGCGCAGTTTGATGTGTTCTTGCGGTTCAGGGATTTTGACTGACTCTTTCACTGCATTGTGACTTTGCCTCCAAAACCATTATTGAAACACCACAACCGCAATCCCAAACGAACGGATGAACAAACAAACATACAAACAAACAAACAAACAAACAAACAAACAAACAAACAAACAAACAAACAAACAAACAAACAAACAAACAAACAAACAAACAAACAAACA